GTCTGCAGGGCACCACTCAGTTTTGCAGGGCAAAAACCCTTTTCACCCCCCCAAAACTATTGGCCAAGTTACGCCCCTGGGTGCAATGGTGATATTTTCGACAGGGAAAAATCTTGAAAACCGACTACAGTTTTAGCAAATTTAAGAAGAACTATTTCGATCATGCGTTGACAAGAGTGGTATAGGGTATAGGGCGTATGGTGAATGGAACCTAAGACCCCGTTTACACGATGTCGGTCCCACGGTCATTACGGTTGCACGGTCATTGACCGGAGGAAGGTTTGAGAAACAATAGATATTTGGAGGAAGGTTTTCGTAAAATAGAGTTTCAAAAGACAAATAAAACAACTTATTTTGCACTTGTTTCTTTGTTGCGGTCTTGTTTTTTAATTTTGCACACAGGGTTGCCAGTTTGGATTTTTCTTATTTGGATTTGGATTCCAGAAATTTGGATTTATGAAAATTTGTTTGGCTTTCAAAATATGATTTGGATTTGGCCAAAAATTTGGCTTATTTTGGATTTATATGAAAAATTCTCAAAATTTTCTGAACCTTTGAATTTTAAACAGATATTTCGGTTAACAGCTGTTTCAATTTAATAGGATAACACATTTTAGTCCATTTCTTTGAGACTTTCGGGTTTCCATCGCCGAGGAATTACGATATGAAAACCAGCCTTTAGCATAGGGTAATCGTCGCTGTTTCTTGTTCTCTTGCAATCATGTCTAAATGGAAATCTTTGTACGAGAATGGGCGGCGTTACGCTAAGTCATAGGAAGACAAGAAACAGCGCTTCTGATTGAACACAAAACACTTTTTGCAAGTTATGTCACCAAGCAATTGCTCCAAAAGCATCTAATCTGTCGAAGCACGAGAAATCAGAAAGAGATGCATAGAATATTAATTCTATTAACTATACCTTATTTTCGAAAGCAATTGTCGGATACTGTCAAATTAACATTAACTTGCAAAACCTTTAAATGCCTCGTTTTCATTTCTTTGATTCTATTGTTCTAAAACCTCGTTTTCATATTTGGCTTAATTTGAATTTTTGACACACAAGATTTGGCTTTGGCCAATTTTGAGACCTGGCAGCCCTGTTTGCACAGTTGAATAGTGGTGGCACGAACAGACGCAAAATTTCTAGGCCACGCCCTTTTACTGCCAGACAACGCATCTGAAAAGAAAATGCTGTTCGTGTTTCATAGTTGTGAAATTTTTCAATGTATATCATATCATGTTTCCATCGATTTTCATTATTCGACATTTTAAAAGGAAAACTTATTCTTGAGCTGTAATGTGATTGGCATTCTAGCAAAGTTTTATCGTATGCGATAATTACCATCGACCCAAAGGCATAACTTTGTCTCGATTCATTGTGTCTGTCACCCCTTATTCCGTAGCCACTCCCCAGCCACGCCCTGTCCAAGTCGATTGCTTGAAAAATTGGAGGAAAGTTTTGACGGGGAAAAATTTGACCGGAGGTAGGTTGAGGACTTTTCTGGACTCTGTCTTGAAGTCAAAGAGTTGAAGCGTGTAAACTCAACATCCTTTATTTAGCTTCGCTGTTCACATGTAAGTACTATAAGACCTGACCCAACAGCCTGTAGTTGGAATTACGAAGATAAACTTGACCCTTTGACGCCTAAATGGTTCACAGGAAAAGAATTTCCCACAACTCTGATGAAGTCAAAAAGATCTGTTAGATATACAGCGGAGGCTTCTTTTCAAGCACAAGGAAACGAGCATGACACAGAAGATGTGATAAGTGGCACAGAAGAACGAACATGGCACAGAAGATGTGATAAGCGGCATAGAAGAACGAACAAAGGATTGTGACTATTTTGTCGGTTTTTTACCGTATAAAGATGTCATCAATCTGAGGGGTTTCGAATAGTCAACTGGCAGATTATGACAGCCTGGACTCCCTTCTACATGAATCCCTTGAGAAAGCAAACATTTGCATGATAAATTGACAGGCTACATGCCCTCTCTACAAATTTTATAGCTAAAATTGCTTCATTAAAATCATCCATTTTGTCCATCAATCCTTATGACAACAATGAAACATGGTTTTCCATTTTACTCGACTTTTAATCTTCACTTCTATCTCATTGTTACTATTAACCAAGTGAATTTTAAATTTCTTTCTTAGCTGATGGCACACTAACTTTTGATTTGATGTAAAGCAGTGCATACTGTCAAAAATTGCATACAGACAATGTCTGGTAACTAAGAGAGTGGTTTAATTTGATCAAATGTATAAATCAAGAATTACATTACTTAACATAATTACAACAAAGAAATGTTGCAAAAAATAGCTAATCACTACATGCAAAAGCAAGTCCTGAAATGTAGCTAAATATAGAGGAAAATCAATATGCAGTGCAGCCAAGTTGAGCAAAGCATGTTTATGTTATCCTAGAACAACAATGATGTAAAGCTTTTAAGTAAACATCTACTATAACAGTGTCATCAAAAGAGAAACTGGCCCAAAGAATAAAATTTTGTATCAATGTAGGGCAGAGACTGTTTCACAGACATACATAGAAATACAATTTTCAGGTGCTGTGTTCCAAAATAAATAACACTACTGCAATGAAATGAGCATTTTAATGTGCCTTTCTTATGCATCTGTTGAGGGCTTAGTGACACAAAAAATATTAAAAAGAAAAAGGCAAATCACAACCGTATGTAGAATGTAGTTAGCCTTTACTGCATTTAGAATCCTTCAGTAAAGATGAAGAACAAAGACCCCTGTACAACTTACCAAGACCCATCAAAACTTGTACTTAAATTAAGCATATTGACAAAACTTTTTGGTGGTTTACTATGAAATTAAATTATAACAAGAAATATTGCATTGTCATGGGCTGATTCAACTGTCATGGAATTTTGAATCTTCTTTGTAGATCTATGATTTTTTCGAACTGTTATCAGCAACTGCCCAAACTGAAAAGTTAATAAAAAGTGCAAATGTTTGTAAAAATATTAATGATATCTGTAATGGGGAAGATATTTTGTCTGTATCTAAGAAAGCACAGCCAGTTTGGTTATCTTGTATGAAAAATTAGTGACTGGATTCACAAACAAAACTAGCAGTGACAAACCAGCATTCTAAGTTTTCCAATAAAATACTAGCAGGGATGGAAAACTCAGGCTCCCCTGCACCTGGGACGACAGGTTTTTATCTGCAGGAGACCACTTATCACTACACAGGGTAACAACCAGCCGATCAACTTTTTTTGGAATTATCCACCCCTGTTGCCAGAGTTTGGTAATTCAGACTATGCAGATTAAAAAGCAACCAAGGATTAATTACTAATCCTTGATGCTTTTAGAGACCATATTCAGTTTTCAAAAATTTATGTTTCTTTGATGAAGGGAACACTTTCAACTCTGAAGAAGATTCAAAATGAGCAATACTCACTGACAATGACAGCTATAATGACAAGGATAACAACAATCAAGATCACCCACATCTAAAATGAATACATTTCCATGTTACAAAAGAGAAAATACAAGACAATATTTGAAATTATTAACAGTTCAGATTATCTGAGCTTCAAGGAACACAAATTGACTCAGGCCTGGCCATAAGACTTTTAGCAGTGGAGCAGTAAACAGCTCTCACAGTAATTTCCAGATGAGCTGTTTGTAGATAAATATAAAAAGAAAGAAATGATAAATTGATTTCAAGAAGAGCAATTTGCTTTTTAGAGCATTTTAAGAGAGCAATATGTAGCTCCCCTCCATCATTTGAAGAGCGCCTGGAGGGGAGCATGGCCAGGCCAGTTGCCTGAATAATTAGCAAAAGCCAGAAAACTATGAGCCAATTTATGTGCTGTGAAACACGAACTTGAGCATGTTTGTAATTCAGGTATTGGTATATCTTTAGTGAATTTTTCTTACCTTACAATTCTGCCACCACATTTTTCTCTTCAACCGACCAGCATTGGATTCAAATTGTGAAGCACCAGCTTGCAATGATTCTAGACACAGCAAAAATGCAATGTTACAACAAGCTTGCTGCATTTTGTGGCTGTCGCTTTATATTTTATATAACTATATTATTAATACAAGCACTTGTATCCAAACGAGGCCTAAAAGTCCCAAGAAATTAAACACATTTTGAATGCCATCTACAAGGATTTATTTTTCCTGTCTTTATTTTCAGATGAACATCAAGCAACTTACAAAGACTTTACATGGATTGCACCACCTTGCTCAAAATGGCAACACTTTTTTCATCTTTGTTGACAATACAAAACATTTGAGTGCATGAATCAGTTGAAATAGGCGTATTTTATAGCAAATTTCAGCAGGAAAAGTTTTGAAACTTTTGCTGATGCCATAGAAAATTTAGTTAGAAATGCATGAATTACGTGAAAACATTTTTGTTGTAAAAATGTAGACCATGCCGAAGAGAGAAATGAGAGACCAGTCTCTACAAAATATTTACAGGGAAGTGGTCTTTTATTTTTAAAAAAATGTTGACCAAGCTAGATACAGCCACACAACAGCTGCGAGAAAACAAAAAAAGATTTCCGGAGAGTGCTACAGTAGCAAAGAAACCAAGAACTGGGCAACCAAAAAGATTGATGTTAGAGGGGAGAGAAATTGTCGGTTGTATTTCACTGCATTTATACCTAGAAGCAGTAAAAGAAATGAAACTCAACGATGAGCAAGGTTTTGTAGCTCAAAATCTGTCCAGAATGCAGAAACACAAAATAAAAAGTTACCTGAATAAACAGAAACCATTTTTACAAAAAGATTTGTTTCCAAACAAAAGGAATAAAAGCCTTGACGTAGGCAGAATCAAATCATGATTTTATCATCACTAAAAATGTTTGACTTCAAGTGAAAAATGTTACAAACCATGATCCACATGGCTTTTGATACATTGACCAAATGTATGCATCAATTTCAAGGAGGCTTATTGTGGTTTTAAAAGTTTGCAGCTGCCCGGCAAAATATTGCAATTTGAAACTGTTAAAAGACATTTGGTACTGTCATTTTTCAAACAAATGCTCTTAATAAATTGAAGCTTTGATTGGTGGTTGTTTTGCTTTCGACCAATTGCCATTCACCAATTAAAAGCAGAATTAATTTGCATAACAATAGCTTTTGATCATTAATGCGCCATTTCTCCTACTTTGAGGTGGTGCAATACTTTTGATACCCTAATGTATATCCAAAGACTTTGAAACTTCATTTCTTAGAGTGGGAATTGGGCTATATATCTAAAGACTAAAAAGTCCTTGCACAGACAAAAATATACTCCACTCTTCACAAAAAGTCAGATGTAACATTTACAAAATACTACATCTGTTGGCTGGCTATGTATTCAAGCACTTATAATTTTATATATGACTTGAGGCTCACCTGCCCTGTTATCTAGATCTGAAAGTTTGTTGTCCCTTTCCAAAACTTTGTCCATGTTTTGTCTCATAATACCCACCACCTAGAATTGATGCACTCTTATTACAAATGATGGAAAATCCATAACAATAAATGGGGAGCCCACTTAAAATTACCAAAAAATAGATGAATAACCCCAAAAAGAAATACCGCCAGCTTTGCATTTTTATAGATTGAATCAATTATCTAGCAGCAGAAAGGTGTTTTAACCATAGAAACATCATTTTTGTTCACCACATGTTTCACAGACTTGATCCAAGTAGCATTCTTAAGCTGCAATACTACACTACAAAGGAATACTACAGAGGAATTCTTGAATGATTGATGGAATGAAATGAAATAAAATGTTGAAATGCTAAACAATGTAACAAATATTTGCAGCATTTATCTGAAAATAAAAGAAATTTTTAGATCACCTAGTAGTTCCTTTCTCAATCTCAAAAGTACAAACTCTTGATAACCAGATTATATTAAAGCAATTATAGTAAAGGTTTAATCCTAGAAAATGCTAACATGTTTTGCAAAATGTAAATGCTTCACTTCAAAAGAATATATTTGGTCTGAATTGAATCAATAAATGGGTTCAAAACTCTTTGTCCAGCAAGGACTTCAAATGGAAACCTTAATGACTCAAAAATAAATAAATTTTTTTAAAAATATGAAAGACTCTTCAAACGTCTTGAAATGCTGCTCTTGTAACTGTGGAGCAATTTTAAAAAAAGGACAAGTAAAGTTGCACAAGAGAAGTCAGAGGTTTCAATCACAAAAGGGCACATTTTTCAATTTGGAAGCCAAGAAAACAATTTTTTAAGTAGCTTTAAACAAACTCAAATAAATCTAAGATGTCTATAATCATAGACAAGTGCAGGAAACCTTATCACAAGTTTTATCAATGAGTGTTTTTTATAAAAAAGAGTATTTATTACAGTGCAAAGGTAGTCCTGATTATAATTAAGCATAAAAGGTAGGTACTCTGTTTTCAACCTACCTCATCCACCTGCTTCTGGGTTGTTACTAATTTCTGGTTGGACCTTGAAAAAACCATAATTTTCAAATATATCGATGTTATGAATATTCCAATTATCCCTAAACCTTACAATAGGAATATAGCTAGTCAAAAAAACACAAAGTAGAACATTGATCAAACAAAAAATCAATGTTTTACTGACTGAAACATATCCAATGGACAAAAGCTATCAAGAAAAGGTCATTGCATGATCTGCAACAATGGCAATTGAAGCTTTCCAGTACCAATTTTTCTAGGATAGAAATGGTGTTGGTCATCTCTTGGTGAAAGGAATGCTAACAAGCATATAAAAAAGATCTTATCTTGTACAGACAGGGCCCAACTAAAGTGGTGTTTGTATTATTTTGGCAAATTTCTTACTGGTTGTATCCATTGCCATCAGTGGCAGTTTTAGGGACTGCAGGGCCAAGGGCCAAAAACATCTGCAGCGCCTTTGTTCTTTACAATTTCCATCTTTTTTGTTAGGTGTGGGGCCCCTTTTGGCTACCATAAGCACGGGGCCTGGGGCCATTGCACCCCTGGACCCCCTTAAAACCACCACTGATTGCCATTTAAAGAGTGTGATTGTTCAATTCAAATCTTCAACAACTAAAGCACTGTCACAAAACTCCATAACCGAGTGTGCCTTTACTGCTTTAAGTTATGTTGGCTATTGGCTAGAAAGGAGCAAGTGACTTTTCATTTATAACACAGTGAGGGCAACTATCAGTGCATCGTTTGCACCGAGCTTCCAATGCAACATGTTAAATTTGTCTGCACCAGAAATCGGGCATTTTAATGAAGGCCAAGGACAAGATAGCCCTTGGCTTTAAATGGGCTAAAGAAGCAGGCCCACATACGCTTCATGCAACCATTTTAGTAAGACATGCTTATCAAATAAAGTATGTCTGTCTGTATATGAATGGGTGTATTTAGCTTATCAAAGAATATCCTGTAGGCTGCACTGTGATAACTTATAATGTGATCACTCAACAAATAATCAACATATCTATATTCTAAGCTTAAATGATAGACAGAGTAAAAATGTTTACATTGTATTTGTAAAAGACTGTCTGATTTCGATTTCATTATAGTCGACTGGTAAACCTCACACTGGTTGGTGTATATTAAGTAACCTTTCCAGATAAGGAACAAAAGCCTCCATTATTTGCACCATGTACCAAAACTGCATGTCTCTGAATGATAAATAAATGCTAAAAAGCCAATAAGCTCGTATGTCGCATTTAAGATAGCCTAGGCCTATCGAGGGGGCAGCTTCGAATGTAGGAGGGACGGGCCTCAAACATTCATTCAAGGAACACGACAGCTAATACATAGTAGTGAGGCATTCATCTGAACGGGTGCTTACATACTTCAGTTAAAGTCACAATACTTACATTTTGAATATTTTATCTGAGCGATATTTCAATGTAAATGTCAAATACTATTAGCGTTTCCTCTTTTAGGCAGAAATTTCAATACGCAAGGACAACAACTCTTTTCCTTGCAATGCAAATTAGAGAAGACACACCTTATGGTCAGCGGTTTTTTGCATCAAAGAGAGTCTTGTTGTAGCCGCATCAAAGGGGGTCCCCAGCCTGCATTCCCATTGTAACGCCCAAATTTAAAAAAAAAATGTTCCACCCTTAAATTTTGTAAAATATATGCTGTAAAAATTTTGAAGTTCTTCTAACGTGAATCTTCACAATCTATTCACGTGAAAATTTTAAAAAATTTTTACATGATGACGTCATAAAGTATGTATCTTTAGAATCTTTGAATTTGGACCAAATAGTCTGAAAGGAAACCACAAAAAGATTCTCCAAATTTGTTTAATCAGCTAACCACAACTCATCTGAAATCTAAATTTTTAACTGGTTTTAATTTATCAGTTGTTTTTGATAGTGTTCCCTCATCTATTACACTGGGTACCAGACTCACTATATTGAGTCTGGTACCCAGGGTACTCATCTATGTGGTAAAAGTTAAAACTTCCAGCATTATATTAAAATTTTTATGACACAATAGTTCTGCTGCGACCTTTATTTCGTTTTTTGAAATATCGAAATCGGGTACAATCTATAGACTATTTAATAGCGAATATTGTTCTTCATGTAAAATAATGAAAATTTTTATCCAAAAATTATCATTTAAATCATTTGTTTTCAACAAACAATCCCTTTTGTCCCTATTAGCCTTCCAATAATTCTATTCTTCCTACGGTACTGATTTTGTGTAGTGCCCTTCCTTAAAAAATCCAATTAAATGTGTACGTTGCGTGTGGTACTTCATCCAGAATAACGATAATATAGTTAGAAAATAAATTTAGTACCAGAATGAAAATATAATAGTTTGATTGTTAAAAACACGACGTTTCGAGCATGTACTCGTTATCAAGTGACGTGTTTTTAACAATCAAACTATTATATTCTCATTCTGGCACTAAATTTATTTGCTAACTATATTATCGTTGCCCTTCCTTACCACACATCGGAGGAGGGGTTGTAAAGTAAGGGCAATCATTCAGGGAAAACCTTTGCTCATGCTCTGAGGGTATAAAAGACTCCGATAGGTATTGGTGTCATCCTTGACCGGTTAACCATGAGATGATAAAAAAATTACTTCGAGGGCTGCATAGAAATTTTAATTATGTCATGTTACTGAATTTAGTTTCGTCATATAGAGAAAAAATTGTTAAACTTTTAAAAGAAATATAGTTGTATCAGAAGATAGAAAAAATAACTTCGATCGATATATCAGTTTATACACTAACTATAGTGGCTACCATTTTTTGATAACAATAGGAACAAAGAATCAAGTCATTTTTCTTAGCATTGGAGGGGGGGGGGGCGATGGCGGGCGCAACGCTACTGCTTCTTTCTTTGTATGCAGATCGTTTCCAAAAACGGCTAGTGCTAGATGAGAAGACGATCGGGCTCTGTCAATTATCTGAAGCATATCCTCATTATAGACTTTGGCACAATCTGGGTTATCTAAAAGTGTCCGATGGCAGAATCGCTTGTTTTAACGGTGTCTTTAGACCTAAAAGATCATTTATTTACTTATAATTTGTTTGCTTATTTTGTGAAATAGAGGCAATCGCTTTCCAATGATAGATACTGTACATGCAAACAGATGGAAGGGAAATTCATAGCGAGAAAATTGCCTACGTTTTTGAATATAGCAAAAGAAAGGTTCTGTATGAAAAAAATTTGCTGTTATCAATGGGAAATCTAATCAGCATGTCATTTTTTATTTCTGACTTTGTAACAAGAATGTCCAAAGAATGCGGTTGATATTACAACAACACTGGCAGAAACAGCCTTTAGAAGATTTTTCAGACTAACTGCCAAAATAATATTATTACAACAAGCAACCGTGCCAACAGGAAAGAAATAAAATCGCATGCTAGAAGACTATGAATACACTTCAAGCAAAGACAACTTTTTCAAAAAGGTTATGCAGAATTTATTGCAAACGAGAAACTTTATACTTTCTAGAGGCACACCAGTTTGATAAGCTTAGCCTTCTCAAGCTCAAGATACCATCTCCTGGCTTTGAAAGATCTCCTTGAGAAAGAGTGTTTGCTGAGTTTAATGACACAGCTGTCCAAGATGTATATGTGATCTAGAATTTCAATAGTAAAAAGGAAGGCGGTTGCTTTTAATGTGAAAGAAGTTGCGAACTTATCCAAGGAACAATAGAAAGCCTTTCTTAGGAACAAAATTATCACAAAGAGTACAATATAAGCTAAAATAAAAGTATATGTTATGTTCTGACCAATACATCTCTGAATAAATCTCTGGATATTGTAAATTTTTAATCAAAATCATTGCTCAAAAGACGCTTGGACAGGTGCACATTACGTTTTGATTTTATAGCAACATTGAATCAAATCCTTTCTGACATAGCTTCAAAATACAATTTGCGGTGTGGTTCGTCTTTAGATGTCATGAAAGTAATTCAAAACTGGTATTATTTCTAACAGCATTAATATTTATGAATCCTTCCTGAGATATTAGTCATTTTTGTGTCAAAGCAATACACACAGGAAATTGACAATTGGAATTAAATCTTCATCAATATAAAACTGTCGCATAATTTTCTTGCCAGTGTAAAAAACACGATGCGCACTTGCAAATTCCTATGCTTACTGCAGGCGTTGGCAAACTTCTGCCTTGCAATCGAAATGTTTGCATCAAGTTACACATTGATCATCGGAGAGGAAAGCGACATTCTTCTTGAGGCTGGATGTTCTACAATTTTCCATATATGCAGCATGGATGAAACTTGCACTCATGTGATAAGATACAGAACTACAAAGGAATATAAGATGGCAAAGGATAAAACGGAGATCGAAAACTTGAAAGAAGAAGCGGTGGTTTGGGAGAAGGTTGCAATTAAAAAAGTAAGTAAAATTCAGGGCCGCCAGACGCAGGTTTGAAGGAGGGGGAAGGGCAAAACGAACAAAAGGGGCACGAATATCTTTTTCCGAAACATTAGTAAGTGCAAAAAAAGTTACAGATTTAATGGTAATTTAGAAATTTATAAAAAATAATGACACACGCTGGACATAATGAGAACTATCTTCGCTGAAAGCAGACATGGCTATTTACTCCATTTAGGGACCACGCAATCTTGATCATAATTATTTGTATAGCTTCCCATCTCATGGCCTTCAAATTTTTTTGAGATTGTAAATCTTACTTCTATCTATGATGATATACCTCTATTACAACACACTGTACTTATTTTTCTCATAATTTGCATATTGTAGGTGGATTTCGCCCAGGGTAAGAAGCAGGCACACATCGTGGCAGGCGCATTATACCAATAAATACCAACGAATCCAACCCAAAATATGAACTAAATGGAATTTTTGAATTCTTATTCATATATCAAAGTCAATTCCAGTCCCTCTTCCTTTCAATGCAAAGTTTCAGTCTCTATGATTATCAAAAGCCCTTTCCAATAATGATTTTAATCTTCTTACTTTTATATACAATTTAGTCCCCCTTGGTAGTCGCGCCTTCCCATTGCCACTTAAACACATAAATTTGTTCGCCTCCATGGAGTATTTTTTAAAAGCTACAAAATTTTGTGTTTAAGTCATCTTTACGCAATCGGCGGAAGGTGCTGACACATTTTTCACTGCCATAGAAAATTCATTTTGCGACATTGATTAGGTTTATCTCATCAGTCTTATGAATGAAACAAGTTTTTAACTCTCCTTTGATTTGATCCCGGCGGGCTCAGTCAGTTGGTCTACATGTGAGTTCCGAAAAACTCTGAGAAAGGGTGGTCTGTAAACTAGAACTCGGGGACATAGAATCTTGAAAATAGGATTGCTTTTTTAATCAGTCAGAGGAAACACAAAAGGGCAGGAATTATGTTAAAGTACAACAAATTTAGCATCTACTCTTCTATGTTGTTCTAATCCTAGATAAGAAATTAAGGTCTTTGTTTAAAGACCCTTTACTGCTAGCATGTACTCATTGCAGGGACACAACTTTTTTATGTCTTCATAAAACATCTAACACAATGTTCTGAAGTATTACATGTGAGTTCCGAAAAACTCGAAAAAGCTAGAATTCTAATCTAATCTTGAAAATTGGGTTGCATTCTTAATCAGTCAGAGGAAACACAAAAAGGGCAGGAATTTACTGATATGATGTTGCAGATAACTTTTTAGATAAATCAATGGCATATTGAAGTACAACAAATTTTGCAGTACGTCTAGTCTTGTATATTGTTCTAATCCTAGATAAGAAGTTTAAGTCTTTGTTAGCATGTACTCATTGCTTGGACACAACTTTTTCATTTCTGCATAAAAACATCTAACACAATGTTGTGAAGCAAGCAATATGTCGCAGCTATAGTTTTACAGACGTCTGATTTTGTTAATATACATTAAAAACCATAAGGGATTGTTGTTAAAATCAAATTTAGTTTTGTCAGGTCATCAATTATTGATGCCATGGTTACCATGTAAACCATGCTACCTGTATCATGCCGGGTCGTCGCCGGGTTAAGCTGATGAGGAGGGGTTCCTGGATACCCAGCAGCAATAAAACAAGAGCTGTAAAAAAGTCATTTAGACTAATCCAGGGGTGAAGGTAACACTGAAAAATTACCAATCCAAAAGGTACATCCAACCAAGGAAAAGTCTTGAGTGGTAGAGAAGGCGGAAGATCTCTTACAGGACAACGACTTCAAAGGCATCCAAGCAACGTGTGTGGCGCGCGGAAGGGCACACCAGGATGCATCAAAAGGTGGTGATCAGCCAACTTGGAAAGGATTGGGGCCCTACCAAGAATTATCCCATAGTCAGATATAGTAGAATGTGTGAAAATAGAAGAGACAATGATATGAGCCACCCCATTGGCATCCCTGCGATGGGACGCTAAAACAATTACAGGGAAGGAACCCAAGAACCTGCAAATAGGAATACTCATTATGAAACTGCTGGCCAAAACCCACCTGGGAGGCCAGCAGCTGTTGCGAGTCACCTGAAAGCCAGGGGAATGGTGTTCAAATTTGCAACATGGAATGTGAGGATAATGTTTAAAGCAGGAAAGCTTGATAACATTAGTAAAGAAATGAAGAATACGAACCTTGATGTCCTTGGAATAAGCGAAACGAGATGGACAAGAAGTGGAAAGATAAAAGAAGGAGACTTCACTATTGTATATTGTGGAGGTAAAAAACATCAATATGGCGTCGGATGCTTCCTCTCGAAGAAAGAGGCAAACTCTATGATAGGCTTCTGGCAAATGTCAGAAAGAGTTTTGATGGTTAAAATACAAGCAAAACCCTTCGATATCCACTTGATTCAAGTCTATGCCCCAACGTCGGACCACAGTGACAATTAGATAGAAGCATTTTATGATGAAATTGAAGCCATTCTCAAATATACGAAGTCCAGTGAAATAACAATGTTGATGGGCGATTTCAATGCAAAGGTTGGAAATATGAAAGAATATCCCATAAATGGAAAATACGGCATTGGTGTTAGAAATGAAAGAGGGAATAGATTAGTGGAATTCTGTAAAGGCAAAGAACTTATCATAATGAACACCATGTACCAACATCCCGCAGAAACCTATACACATGGAAGAGCCCCGGGGACATAGTGCGCAACCAGAAAGATTACATCATGATTAACAACATGCATAAAAACTTTGTATTAAATGTTAAAACATATCCTGGAGCTGATGCTGGATCAGATCACAACCCAGTAGTGATGAAAATCAGAGTGAAACTCAAAAGTAAACCAAAGTCCAAGTACAAAGAGCAATACGACTGGAACATGCTGGAAGACGCACAGATTAGAGAAAAATATAATATCGAAGTTAACAACAGATTTCAAAGTCTTAATGTTGAAGAGCTTCAAAACCTAGAGGAAGAATGGAAAGATGTGAAGACTGCTCTAACGCTCTAACTGAAGCTGGGAAGAATTTAGTGCCAGTTAAACAGAGAAAAGCAATACAAAGTTGGATGACGAACGAATTTCTAGACATGATGGATGAAAGAAAGCAGGCGAAGAATAATGATGTGCTTCATGCAGAAATTGATCGTGATATCTCTAAAAAATGCAAACTAAAGAGAAATAGTGGAACAATAAATGCGATGATATAGACTAGAAGCAATGAACAGACATCAAGAAATGCACGAGAAAATCAAAGAAATAACGGGCACTAAAAGAAATCTACAGGCAATGAATGCATTGAAGATAAAGAAGGAAACATGCTATTCAATGAAACGACATCAAGAAAAGATGGCAGGAATATGTATCTGAATTATTTGACGATGACATAGACGATACCTATGTTATCATAACAAACGGAGGAGAAGAAGCTGACATGTTAGAGTCAGAAATAACAAGAGCCATACAATGCATGAAAACAAGCAAATCCCCTGGTGTGGAAAAAATCAACACAGAGATGCTCAAAGCCTTAGATGAAGCTAACACCAAATAGCTCGCCAAGTTCTGCAATCAAGTATATAAAGTTGCAAAAATACCTGGAGACATGAATGACTCCATATTTCTAAGAATTCCAAAAAAGTTAAGGGCCATCGCATGCAAAGAGTTTAGATTAATTAGCCTTATGAGCCACATTCTGAAGCTTATACTACGAGTTATACTGGGAAGAAATAAACACCGAATAGAAAAGGAAGATACGCAGAGGTTTTATGAAAGGAAAAGGAACTCGTGAAGGGATATTCAATATGAGAACTATATGTGAGAGATACCTGGCAATGAACAAAAATGTACATGCATGCTTCATAGACTACGAGAAAGCATTCGATAGAGTAAACCACCAGAGGATGATTGAAAACCTCATGAAAATTGCAATACCAGGAAGGGATATCAAATTCATAAGAAATCTGTACTGGACTCAAAAAGCCTTCGTGAGACTAGAAAATGGACTCTCTGATGAAGTGATGATAAAAACGAGGAGTAAGACAGGGATGCGTACTGTCCCCTGCTCTCTTCAACTTTTACACAGATATGATATTCAGAGCTATAGATGAAATGGATGATGTAAAGATAGGTGGACTTAACATCAACAACCTTAGATATGCTGATGATACGGTTCTTGACCTGAGCAATTGCAAGAAATAGTAAATAAACTTAATAAGGAAGAGAACATGTATGGAATGACGATAAATGCTGAAAAAACTAGAATTATGTTGGTAACAAAAGTAATGCCAAGCGCCAAATTTCATATCACTGTTGACAACGACATAATTAAAGAAGTAGATTCATTTGTATATTTAGGATAACTATTGACAGAGGATGCTAAGTGCGAAAAAAATCCTACGTCGTATATCTATAGCTCGAGGAGCATTTAATAAAATGAAATCAACATTAACAAATAACCACATCAATCTTGAGACGAGAAAGAGAATTCTGAAATGCTATGTATGGAGTACCTTATTTTATGGAATAGAGACATTGACTGTAACAACAAAACTTGGGAAACGTTTTGAAGCATTTGAGATGTGGCCGTAAAGGAAATGCTGAAATTGTCATGGACGGAGAAAGTGACAAATGAGGAAGTGATTCAACGAATGAATGAAAAAAGAAAGCTCATCAATATCTTGAAGGACAGGAAACTGAAATATTTTGGGCATTTGATACGGCTAAATAACATATACAGAACACTGTTAGAATGATATATAGATGGAAAGAGAGGCAGAGGTCGCCCAAGGATGAGTTGGTATGACAACATCGAGGAGTGAACTGGGATGCGGTATGAGAGGGCAACAAGAACTGCAATGGACCGAGACAAATGGAGAGCTACCTTGTCATCCAACGTCGAAAGATTTGGAGCACAAAGAAGAACACGACATAAGTTTAAGAAAAAGAATGGTTCTAACATGAATTGGTATAAAAATTCCTGCTTCAAGCTTGAATACTCTCAGTGAAAAGAGTTTCAATATTTTGGCGATTTCGCAGAATAGGGTACAATTTACTTAACCCAGAATCAGAGATAGAGGTCTAGTTTCTACTTTCAAGAACACACACGATATACATTGCACCAACTGACTGTGCCCGCCTGGGACTTCATGTGGAACTTTCACTTATGCGTTTGTTGCTGAAGACATACTAAGGGAATTTTCTTGCGAAAATGGCAGTCTCCTTCTTGGTTTCTTAAGGCAGAATACCTGGTATTTGAAAAATGCACGCAATTTATTCATCGAAAAGGGGCACTTGTTTATACTTTTTGCAAACAAGGGGGCCTGTGCCCCCGTGGCCCCCTGGCTCCGGTGGCCCTGAAATTGTCGCTTGAAAGAATAGTAAATTCTTGTGAGATGAATTCATTGAAATGACAAATGTATTCACTTTCTTGCAAGACCCTGCACGATAGAAGTTAATTTTAGAGTCAGTAAATAGCAGTAGATCTAAAACTTTCAAATATATTTGTTGACCGTTCCCTTGGCAATTATTTCTTTGTTAATCGCTTCGATTTACATCCTTTTTCATTTTCAGGTTGTGCTAGTTTGATTAATTAATAAAAGGTTTGCACCATTTTTTTAGAAGGTGCTACTATTTCTATTGTAGACATCCAATGATAAGTTATTGTTCTTTCAATTTATTAAGGAAGGCACATAAGCTACATTTAAGAACTAAAAGAACGATTCTTTCATCATTCATGTAAATTATTCGTTATAAAAGATCAAAGACATGGCAAATGACAAAAATAACGCTGCCGTAGTTGCGCGTTGACATTTGATTGACAGTCGTATGATTGACAGTCATTGACAGATGCATGACATTTGATTGACAGTCGTATGATTGACAGTCATCGACAGATGCGTGACATTTGATTGACAGTCGTATGATTGACAGTCATTGACAGATGTGCGACATTTGATTGACAGTGGTATGATTGACAGTCTTTGACAGATGTGCGACATTTGATTGACAGTCGTATGATTGACAGTCATTGACAGATGCGTGACATTTGATTGACAGTCGTTAACAGATGCATGACATTTGATTGACAGTCGTATGATGGACAGTCATTGACAGATGCGTGACATTTGATTGACAGTCGTATGGCTAGGAAGGAGAGTGATTTGAGTTCGAAGTTGTAAGAAGGACAGACGTTGATAGATAGGAAGAGAGTTGGAAGTTTAGTTAAAGTGTTTCGTGAAAGAACAGAAGTTTTGTTGAGGAAGTTTTGCGTAATACTTGAAACGACAGGGATTTTTTAAACCCCCTTTTGTATGCTAGAAAGGTCAAATGAAATTAAGAAATTGCAATTCCGCTTCCGATTTCGGAACAAGGACACTTACTGGTTGCAGTGAATCCCTGCAACAAAGAACGATGGAACTTAAGAACGTTTATTCTGTTTTTTCATTCACTAAGCACTTTCTGTTTAAAAATCATTACAGCCTGAGAAAGTATAAGGATTAAGGTTTTGTTTCAAAGGCCATAGTCCCCTCAACCATTTTTTGAAAATACGACTTTTCCAGGAGAGTTTTTGGCAACGTTCATCATTCAAGTATACATTGTATTGTAGGTTAGAGCCAGACAGTTAATATTATTTAATATATGTTTAATATTTTCACGCAATTTTGCTTTATCATATCTGAGTACATTTTTTTTGCAAATCAAGCAGCCAATCAAAACTGAGATGTCATCCTGCAAAACGCTGAAACAAAATGGCCGCACAAGTGGACTCTACGACATCCAGTTGCCAAGCGGAATCCACCAGGTGTACTGCGACATGGATACAAATGGTGGTGGATACACATTTCTTTCAAATGACAGTGTGTCAAGAATCAACCAATCAGATATCGACTTCCTACTGACTGACAACCAAGATGTTCTTCTGCGCATTTTGAAGTCGAATGGCTCACAACCTTATACAGTGATACAGCAATACAATGATACAGGGGGACTCTCCGTCCAGTATAGCAATTATGTTAACTACACCAAACCAAATAACGATGCAATGAGTGCCTACATTTTTGTTGGTACCTTACCAGCATCTTTTGCCAGAAATAACGATAATCAAGGATTCATCTCAAATGACATTCCGTTGTACTTTCAGAATTGTGCCAAAAATCCCAACAATTACTTTGCATTCTTTTCCAAACGTAGGCAAGTATCACTGAGAAGCAGGGCAGGAAGTTTAGGGGTTCGTTGGAGAGAGACAGCACTTCAAGATGCACAAGAAAACATGTCACCAGACTTTTTTCTGTTTACTGAAATACACTACGGAGGTTGTGGATTGTACAGTGAAAGTGTCATGTGGGCAGACACAAGCGCTCCTGCCATAGGTACTGCTCTAGGCATACGCTGATAAGAAGCAACGATATACCAAAAGGTAGAGCAAAATTTCAGATCAAAAAAAAGAGGCACTAACTGCATCTAGTTGAGCCCTGTTAGCCAAACCCTTTCATTTTTCATTTCATTTATTTTATATTTATAACCAGTCTGACATGTTAGGCTTTTAGCCGTAAACTGCAAGATTAAGAATAACAATACATAAAACAGTATAAAGGAAAATTTTTAAGAGCCAATTGATTGATACAAAGTATATTTCTTAAACATAATGTGACATTTCTAGCTACATCATATGGCTGTAAAGAAATTGTTGCACATTACAAATTTTACGATTTCATAACCTGTGAATGATATTGCTTCAACACAATTCTTTGATTTTACAAGTTGCCTCTTTAATGGAAATTTCTTGATTCAAAATACTTGAGCTCTTGATTGCTGGATCTGTGGTCGTAACACACCAGCCATCTGCCGGAGGACTGGTCTGGGCCTGACTGAGCCATTGAGAGGATCTTGGGACAGGGTGAGATGGAGGATGGATGTCCATAAGTTGGTGCCACCCACCTCTCCGGCTCTCCGGCGTCCCTGTTATCACACAGGTTTGGGGACCCTTGAACTCGTTTATTACACCTAAAATGCCAGCTTCAAAGTTGAATAACAAAGACAATTTTTTTTCTTGAAGCCCATAAAATCTCGGAATAGTTTTTGAACTCAAGTTAACTTTAGTTCGTAACGCCACTGGTACTGACACAGCACCCTTTCAATTCTCACTTCTAGGTCAAGACGATTACAATTACATTGCAATTAATGAAGGCACATTAATTTTTAAGGACATAAATTAAGTTTTAAAATGCATAGTCAAATTATAAAACACCTTACACGTTCTGAAGACACAAATCAACCTTAAAAAAAGTTACAGGTTCTGAAAAAACAAATCAAGGACTCAAAACAAAAATTGGAATTTCTTAAATCCAAATCAATGCCCGAAAACACAAATAAATTTTCTGAAACTACGTAAACCACATTAAAACTACGTTCCCATCGGGGAGGAGGTTAACCTTTGGTGCCAGTTACCCTATTCCGGATTGCTCTTTGAGTGGAGTGAGTGACCTTCATTTCTTGTTAAGTAGCCAGAGAAGAGACAGTGTGTGTTTAGTAGCGAAATATATACATAACCTTTAAGCATTTACACGAAAACTAACATAACTCAGCAGTAAGCTCGTTAAGAATGTCAAAAGCGATTAATAAGCAATTACGAATGTCATGTGATTGTCATGTGACTCATTTGACTCTACTTGACATACTGGGGGCCCGGCGAAAAGCTAATCTAGTAAATTGTCTATTAGCTGCGCGTGAATAGCGTCTCTTGCTACGAAGGCTGCCTTGCGTTGTGGACGGGTATTTTCGTTTGAATGTTCTTCATTATTCTCTGTGCTTTCTTCTGGAGTCGAATGGCTACCCGCTTGCACTTCTAACGGATAGAGCTTGACGATTGAACGAGTGGTACATCCCTTTGATGTGCGCACCACAGCAGCCCTACACAGTGAATCAGCACCAACAATGAGTTCAGTGACAACACCTAGTGGCCAGCGATGTCTAGGGGTGTCTGTGTCTGCAACCAATACCACATCCCCAACATTAACGGTACTGCAAGAGGTACGACGGCCTTTATCGTGAAATGAATGTGTTTCGCGGAGAAACGATAAATATTCCTTGCAGAAACGATCCATAAAGTGATGGTAGAGAACTGATCGACGACGATGCGCGTATGAGATGTTATCATGATCTCCATAGGTTGGGTCTGACAATGTGTCCTCAGCAGAAGGGTGTGGCAATGAGGTGATGCTGAAGCCGAAAAGCAAGTGGCTAGGTGTGAGCGGCTGCAAGTCATTTGCATCAGAATTGACGTATGTTAGAGGACGATCATTCAAAACTGCTTGAATCTCCTTAATTAGGGTTTGTAACTCAGACATCGTAATCAGCGATCGGCCAAGAACTTTTTTAAGCGATGTTTTTGTTAGTCCAATCAATCTCTCGTAGACACCGCCCCAATGGGGACTGCGCGCGGGTATGTAACGGAAAACGATTCGTCTTTGAGCAAAGGCGTGCTGAATACTTTGAGTTTCGAAGAGCGAAAGTAATTGTTGCAAGTCTTTTTCGGCGCGTTTGAATGTTAGAGCGTTATCTGCTAAAATGAAACGCGGTGTCGAAAAAACACTACAATGACGACGGAATGCCATGAGAAAAGACTCCGTTGTAAGGTCTTCGACGATTTCCAAGCTAATTGCTCGTGTAGTTAGGCAAGTGAATAGGCAAATGTACACCTTGCGAAAGTTCCCATTGATGTCTTTAACAATTAAATGACCGGTAAAATCAACACCAATGTTTGAAAACGGACGGCTGGACGTGTCCACGCGAAATGTTGGCAACTCTGCTGACATAGGAAGCGGGTAATGTCTTCCAGTGACTCTCTTGCATTTAAGACACTTACGAAGTAGGTTGCGTGTTACAGAGCGAGCACTTGGTACCCAGAAACATTTGCGTAGAGCGACGATCGTACCACCAACACCGATATGATGCAACTGTTGATGATTATCAAGAATCAGCAAGTCAGTAAAACGTGAATGCTGCGGCAAAAGAATCAATGAAGAGTCGAAATCAAACCGACCCTTGGTGCGAATGATTCCCTTTTCATCGAGAAACAAATTAAGCTGACGAACAATGGCTGGTGCATGTTCAAAGCTTGAGCTAGAAGACGATGTTAAATATGTAAGTACTGTTGCATAGTGTTGATGCTGTTGAGAAAGAATCCATTCTAGCTCTGCTGTTTCGAGTTCAGCAGTCGAGGGCGGTTCCTTTATCCTTGTGCGCGAGCAAAAACGTCGGACGTAAACGGTTGACGCTAAAAGACGAGAGTAGTGATTAAAACGCTCTAGCTCGATAACGTTGCACACACTTGGACGTATTAACGTTTCGGAGAGTTGCTGTTCAGCAACAGCAATGAGTGTTGTTATAGTGGGCGGCTGTGCCTTAGGCCATTTAGGCCACAAAGCTTCTTCGGTAATCCAAGATGGACCCTGACTCCACAGCGGTGATCTTTGTAAAGACTGTGCCGAGCAACCTCTTGAGACTATATCTGCAGGGTTCTCGTCCGAGGCTGTATGGCCCCAGAGAGACGAATCGAAGAGCCTGTTGATAGCATCTACTTTATTTTGTACGAACTGCTTTAACTTGCGTGTAGATGACAACCAGTATAGGGAAATTTCTGAGTCTGTCCACAAATGAACGTGAATACACGAGAATTCCTTTTTCAGAATTGCGAGTAGGTTGTTGCAAAATTGCGCCCCTAGTAACATAGCACTTAACTCTAGTTGAGGAATTGTGAGCCCTTTTTTCCCTCTTGGCGCTAATTTCGATTTAGAACCTACGAGGGTGCATTGGGTTCCCTGACTTATGTACGCGACCGCGCCCATAACAGATTTACTTGCATCCGCAAAAACATGCAGATAAATAGGCCGAGAATTGTCGAAGTCTGCCCATCGTGGAAACTGAAAACGGGAGGCAATATTGAGCTCGTGTTCGATATTTTTCCAGCCTTTCGCTTTTGCAGGGGGTAAGGGCTGGTCCCAGCCAAATTTTTCATCCCAGAGCTCAGCAATAAAGAGGCGAGCGAGAATGCACACGGGCAAAGCTAAACCAAGTGGGTCGAATAGTTGACTAGCAATACTTAATACTTTACGTTTTGTCAGAGATTCAATGGGCGAATCGAAATTTTTCACTGGAAAGTTAATACAATCCTTTGAAGCATCCCACTGTAGGCCTAGTAGAGAAATAGCCTGCGATTTAATACCAGTGTTATTAGAACTGATTTGGTCTTGCAATGCTTTCGAATTAGTTGACCACTGACGTAGAACGAAATGACCTTCATGCATTATTTCGCGCGCTTTATGGAAATAAGCAATGGCTTCAGCCTCGGTTTGAGCCCCGGAAAGGAGGTTGTCTACGTATAATTTCTGACTAATATCAACAGCTACGGGGTGGCTATATTTCTGCAAATGTTCAAGCAACACAGCACCAAGAGACATTGGACTGCTTGTATGGCCGAAAACGATGGTTGTATATGTATATACACAAATTTCTTTTGTTGGATCATTGTCTTTATACCAAAGAAAACGCACGAAGGGCCTATCTTCCTCCTTGAGTTTGATATTAAGAAAGGCGCGTTGAATATCAGCCACAAATGCATACTGCGGGAAACGAAATCTGACGAGAAGTTCGAGCAGATTATTGAGAAGACACGGGCCAGTGTAAAGACAGTCATTTAGACTGACTTTACCTGCGTTCGCTGCGAAAACTATCCTGAGAGGTGTAGTTTCAGAATCTTTGAGGACGAAAAAATGGGGCAAGTAATGACATCCCTCCTCGGGCCAAGGTTCATCTAAATCACGTAATTCCTCTATGTACCCCTTACTTAAGTGCTCTGCCATAACTTTACGATACGTGTCCATAAGATTGAGTTTAGTTAAACGCGCTGTTACTTGATTAGACTTGATTAGTTAAACGCTTTTTACAAAGTTCCAGATTAGACGGTAAGGGCGGGTGGTTTGTTTTCCAAGGCAATGGGGCAAAGTACTGCCCGTCACGAAATTCAATCTGCTTTCGGTAACCATGGAGAAAGTTATTTTCTGGCTTGTCGTTTTCAGGGTCACTAACAAATTGACCTTGAAAAAGTCGATCGACTTGAATAAGCAAACTTTCATTGTCAACAAGATTTTGAAAGGAAACATTTTGGCTAGCATCGTTATCTTCGCACAACACATCAATGCACTTTGTGACTACTTCGGAATCTTTAATAGCGTGATTACCAATAATAGCAGTAGTAAGCATCGCGTTTTGTGACCAAGGGCCATAAAGGACGTCACCGAAATGTGATTCCTGGATTAATGGCTGCGAATTATCTTGAATAATTTCCCCAAGAAAACGATAAGCGGCATCAGCACCCAAAAGAATATCAACTGCAAATTTATCTTCTTCAAAGTCGTTTGCCAAAGTTAACCCTTGAAGACGGGGGTGCGATTTGAATTGCGAATACCCAGAGTGATCTAGAGGCTGAACAATTTCCTCAGTAATTAAAACGCGTACGTGTTCGATACCTTGTGGGGTTTCCAAGCCAATTTCTGTTACCCCATAATTATGTTGGGTTACTGTCCCTCCAAAACCTGACACAGATAATAATTCGCAAGAAATTGGGTTTAGGCCTAATTGAGATGCAAAGCCTGACCTGACGTAACTGCGCTGCGAACCTTCATCGAAAAATATTCTCGCTGCAAGTTTCTTATCGCTGGAAACAGCAACCCCTTTAGCAGTTTTCAAAAGTATAACATTGCTTGCTACGGTTGTTTGTTCAGAAGCAATTTCAGGCGAAATGTTAGCCTTAGCATCTGTAGTAAACTTGTACGTTGTTTCATCATTACTAGATACATCAACAACATTAACGACAGAGTTAGGTTTATGCGAATAGGAATCAATTTCATCAACATTGAACATAGTCGAAATTACTGGCGAAACAGAACAACAATTTGTTACGATTTGTTGTGATGGCGTAATGGATGTCGTTTGTGTGTCATTGGTGGTGAATTGTGACGAGGATGACTCATTTTTGACTACAGAAACGTGTGCGTTTGTTCGTGACTTGCTTGGACTAGCATTTCGTGGAGGTTGAACGTTAGAATTAGACTGGTAAATTTGCACCCCGTGAATGCTTGTGTGGTGCTTTCCCTTACACTTGGAACAACGACCCCTCGAATTACATTGAGAAACAGAGTGTCCCGAACCTAAACAGTTAAAGCAAAGCCTTTTACGGATAATAGTTGCCCTTTTCTCGGATGCGGACTGGGAACAACGCTGGGTGTTATGTGGGCCAGTGCAAAATTGGCAACGTAAATCGCTAGATGCAACCAAAGTGCTTGTGACAGACGGGGGTTCGTAAATTTCATGTCTTGCCACGGGCTGAAGAACTTGTGATTGTTCCTCTTTGGCAAGAAACTTTTTGAAATTTTCAACAAACAATTGCAAGTTGAAATAGGATTCTTCTCCACAGTCTCCTATGGCACTACGAGCTTTAACAGGTAACTTCTCTTCAATAATCGGAATTATGAAAGGAGCACAAGCTGCGACATTAACGTTTAAGGCTTCTAAAGAACGAATGTCCCCCATAACTGAATTGTAAAACTGGCGAATACTAGCGGCAAAGGGCGTGGGCTTTGGCATTTTGAGAAGATTCATTATGTGGGCCCGAATTATACGTCTGGGGAGACCGAAATTCTCCTTTAGCGTTTCTTCTAAAACTCCGTAATTTAGTTCGGAGGGTATTATCCCTTTAACAGTATCTAAAGCTTCTCCCCTTAGTTGGCCCACTAAATACGTGAACTTTGCAGTGTTAGGCAGGTCTGGAGAGTTCCCAACTTGCGACTGGAAACGTTCCCAAAAGCCAAACCATTCGGTAATATTCCCATCAAAGGTCGGAAGGTTAAGATCGGGCAATTTTGATCGAGAAAATGACTGTGAATGATGTGGCTGTGAATTGGTTGTGGATAGCTTATCAAATTTCGTTAGAAGAAATTCAATTTTATCGATTTTACCTTCTATTTCCATGGCAAATACCTCAGCTTCATCGCAAAAGTCGTCGAGTTCGGCTTCATCTTCTAATTCCTCGAACAAAATGCTTCGTAGCTCCTTTTCAATTGCGATACTTTCCAACTGTTTTGCCTTTAACGCTTTAAATGATGATTTTAAAGAACGAATTTCTTCCTCTTGTAAACGCGGTACGCTGAAAAGCGTCGAAGCTTCGCTGTGTATCTTCGTGAACGAACGGCGAATCTGCCTCCTCTCCTGTTTCAACTTCTCTAACTTCGATTTGGGCATTGTTACGAATGCTTGAAAACTTTCACAGCAGCGAAAGAACGAAAACGAAACGTAGACGGACAATCCTGGTCACGGCACCAATTTGTTAAGTAGCCAGACAAGAGACAGTGTGTGTTTAGTAGCGAAATATATACATAACCTTTAAGCATTTACACGAAAACTAACATAACTCAGCAGTAAGCTCGTTAAGAATGTCAAAAGCGATTAATAAGCAATTACGAATGTCATGTGATTGTCATGTGACTCATGTGACTCTACTTGACATTTCTGATAGCGATTGAAGTTACACTACGCAGCACCAATCCAGTCCACAGGGCTCTGATTAGCCGAGTAAAAACTACTCAGGATTTTAAAAAGCTATGTCAAAGAAAAGTTTCACTAAACTTTCAAAACTCTCCTCTCAGTAGTATGCACTTTTCACACCCCCACTGCATTTTCATCTGATCACAGCACATCCGAAGTTTTGGTGCCGAAGCTTTTCATCATTTGTGAACACCTGGAGGCTAGGGGGCGGTCGCCTCCAATACTTTGAAGGACGATGATCTTTTGTTCCAAAACAATGGAGACATGTGACGTCATCGTATTAAAACAATCGGCAGAGCCTCTATAATTGGCAGAGCCCGGTCGTCCTTCCATCTAGCAGTTTTTGAGTCAATCTACATAAAACGAAAAAGCCGCCATTGTGTAGACAAAAGGAGTTCGTTTACTCTCTTGGACTCCATTGGTAATTTTTCTTTAGGCTCGCGGCACTGATTGGTCAACTATATCGGTCTTGTGCTTGCGTTTTTCTGATTGGCCTATTTCGATCCACAACTGGGTATATATTTTCCATCGTGTTCTTTCGGAACCTTATTCTGACGTTTTATGCTCTGAGGAGTGTCAGACGAAAAAGCTTTTAGGATGTCGTAAAATGTTTGCTTTCTTTAAAGCCATTTTCAAATTCTGTACCGCAAAAAAATTGTTAACCTATTTAGCCTAAACTGTCAATAAGTACCCCCATAATACAAGAACCTGTTTTGCCAAACTCTGGAGAAAGTTGGTTCTTATATGCGGGTTTTTACCGTATATAGAAGTGTTTTAAGCCAAAGTAGAAAGAGTGTCTTTCGAGTGTTTCCAGAACCCCACCAAGCTATTCATAGATAGAGCAAGCATATACTTCAGTTTAGTTGGTATCAAAGAATTAATAAATCCGATTCCTTATTTGGAGGCAGGATGGGCCTTTTGATAATTTTGAAATATTTTGTTTGTTAATTTTGAAATATGAAATAATGGCAAGATTTCGTTATGAAATATGAAATAATGTCAACCCCCCTTGTAGAGCCTCACAGAAACTAGCCTGCGTGAAGACTCTGAACTTTTCAATTTTGCCAAGAGAGTCTGCACGCAGGCTATCAGAAACGGGCAACCTCGTTTGAACATGGCTAATCCAACTCAATCCACGTGCGACCCTCCTTGCATCAGCAACCCTACTAGAACTCTTGGAACATGTGTTCCATGATATAAGAGCCGTTATAAAGTGTGTATGGATTCGTTTCATTACGTTTTGTAGTATTGGATTCACTTTGCGACTAGCTGGCTCGGTCTTAGAGATAATTTTTTAGCCTACTTTCCCGACTTCGGCAATTGGACTTGATCTTTGGGAATGTCCTGGTTATTTGGAGTTAACAAAGGAGGTTTGGATGCTCCAATCATCCCTCCATTTCCACCAACTGGCAGTGGAGGTGGCCAGGGTCCTGGTGATGATGGCTCTAAGGATGAATCCAAAGATCCCCCAAAAGCTTGGTCCAACTTTGACCCAACTGGCCTCGAGCGAGCTGCTAGAGCTGCAAGGGACCTTGACAAATCACGTAAGACATTCGAAGATACAAAAGTTTTTATTCTAATTTACATCCAGAAATTCAAAATATTGTGCTATTTCACTTCTATAATTTAATTTGTTTTTATGCAAAAATCTTACCTTGACTTAGTTTTTCATCAAGTTCTTTGAACTCCCCCACTCAAATGCAAAGTAGATTAAACCGATATTTTTGCTGAAAATTCCAATCAGTTCGAGGATATTTTTAAATTTTAAATGTTTGCTTCTCTCTACATCAAGATAAGCTAGAGCAAGTTAAGCAATAAATGCAGATCTAAAGAGGCTTGGTATGATTAAAACTGTCTTCTGAATCCAACGTGAATATGGACAGTTGTATGAAATAATTGCACAAAAAATGTTGTTTGAGAAAAGGGGGTGGGGGCAGAAAGAATCCTGACAGCAGTGGATCCAGGAAAATTTTTACTGACCACACCCTTGAGAATTTGGGAAAATGCCCCATTTTGTAAATGCCCTTGGAAAAACTATGGCTTTTTTACATGACAATGATTGGCTGATCAAACACAATAACCGTCATATGTAGCTTTTTGTGGCTGACCCCATTTTGCAACTGTCTATTTCCTTTGCAATTCCTATCACGTTTGTTTTCTGAATTGTGTAAGGCAAGGAAGCTCTACATGTAAAAACTGATTTTTCAAAGTTGTGAACAAATATCTTAAAATAATAAAAGATATTCAAAGTTTCAAACTAAGTCCATTTTCCTAAGAGCAAAGTCCCCCACAAGCATCTCAGAATCCAGTTTTTCTAAGGATTGAAGCGCGATAACATTTTAGCTTCTATTTTATTGGGAATGTCTAAAGAATATTTCTTACAGTCGCTTGGTTGCAGTCTTTTAAAGCCTCTTAATTTTGTCTGAAGTCCTTTGCCCCCTTACTATGTTAATGACTAAAAGCTTTTCTAAATTGTTCAAAGCTTTGTAACAACTGCCATAATTTCTCACATACTTTTTATAACACTGTGATACTTGGATTTTAATTTTTGGTAAGCAAAGATAATGAAAAATAATCATTGGTTCAGCATTTTTAATGTACCTTCAGTTAATTTCAGCACCTTATGGAAAAAGCTAACAGTGTCACCTGGCCAATGTTCAAGTCTTTAGGATTCAAAATTTTTAGTTGTTAAGGAAACACTGAATCTTGATTATTCGGTGATTAATGATAAATTCATTTTGCTTTTTATATGCTCTGTTAATAATGTGAATGATGAACAAAGGAATTTGGATTATGAGTGCTATCTTTACATGATTTCTGTAGGCACCTGGTGCTTATTTTCCTGAACTGACCTGTGGGAGGTGCCCCCCTAAGCCACCAGGGAAATTTTTTTTTTATCAATCAAAACCTAAAGAGAAAAACAACTTACTTTATTTGCACTATGCAATGGGGAAGGACATATAGTCATCTAGTCCCGACTCCTACATGGGGCAATACCAGGGAAATATACTGTATAGGACAACAGTATCATCATTAAATCACAGCTTGCTGCAATATCATTTCAAAGGTTTTGTTGCAGGACTATTTTTATCCTTGAATGTTAATAAGAAAGCTTAGAAACATTTTCAGGCTTGTAGTTTTTTATGAAATGAGCAAATATGTTTTTTTCTATTTAGCAAATGCACACTCAGCTCTTGAGCTTTCAAAACTACAAGAGTTAAGCAAACAAGCAGAATTTCAAGCAAAGACAAAGGTTGGTTTCAAATATTAATTTTATTTAAATTTACATCTATAAATATATATAGATATAGAAAATTTGTCTTTTGATACTTCCGTAGCACAGTGCTAAATAGGTTAGCACATAGAGCGTGATGTATCATAGAGTTGAAGAAAGTAAGACTACATGGTTTATCTCTACAAGCCTGAAACTCACTCTTCAGGAGATGTTGATATCAACATCTCCTGATATCAACAAATATATAGATATAAATATATATTTTGCAATCATTTCTTGAACATTGTTTTTTTAAAATAAAGTTTTGATGTAATAATCTGACTGCATTGACTGTTGGGTCTCACTGCAGGAAAATGAAGCTGCATTTGAGCAGATTAAAAGTGATCGAGTTAGAGTTGAGCAAGAAGAAAAGAGAAAGACTTTGCAGTCTGAAACCCAGCAACATAACCAGGTAAATGTCTATTTATTTGTTCCCTCAAAGGTCCAGATCTATATTTATTTTCCTTTTATGTTGGCAGAGTGAAAGTTTGCACATTTTGATTTGTTATATACTTTAAAATTATTAGTCAATTTTCTGTCTTTCAAGAGAGCACAATACCAAGATCAGTTGGCAAGGAAAAGGTATGAAGATCAACTTCAACAACAGGTGGGCCTTTAGTTCATCCATTCAATGTTCATTTCTGGTTGGACTATGTTAGAAATAGCAATTTGTCTAAATGGATGAATGGTGGAAGAAGTTGTTAAGTTTTAAGAACTGGAGAAAGTATGCAGTGTATTCAAGGTTTCAGACAATAGTCATTAAGTTTTTTAAAGTTCTGGACTTCATCATTTGTAATGTTTTGCTCATCATAAAGCGTTTGTTTATAAACAGCATTAGAAATCCCTAAAATTATCTCACTTGCTCATTTCTATTTTCCCCCTTATTAACAGAGAAGAGTAAATGAAGAGAATCTTGCAAAGCAAGAAGAATCTGTCAAGAAACAAGAAGCAATGAGACGATGTAAGTTAATCTGCAGAGTCTTCATGAAAGAGTTTTTATAGGCCTCTTAACCCACAGTCAAATGCATGAAATCTTTCACAGAACAATGCTCCACTTACAGGTTTTGTAGAAAGTTTAACTATTCAGCTACCTTGATTTACTCTTTAAAATGAATTGGATAATTTTCGATTTTTTTAAGTTGTTTGAATTACTTGAAAAAACAGAATTGATCTTTTCCATCATTCTCTAAGTTAGGTGAAATGTTTGATGCATTTGACCACCATACCAGACAATGACCTTGTTACTCTTGCCAATATATGTTTGTTTCTTATTGTGTTTACTATTAATTTTTTGTACCAGTGGTAAAGCAGAGTTAATTAATTTATTTTATACAGGCTGTTCTTGTGTAAGATTTTTAATGAAATGTTCAATGGGTTTGGCCACTCACTTTCAGGGCATTTGAAAATATGCTTATCTTTGATATTTCAGTAGTGAAATGTGTCTTGCTGTTTCACCTAAGGTTTATCTTTCTTTATGTTTATTTCTCTTTATTTTAATTCCAAATACCCAATTTATTTTCTCAAACTGATAAACAATCAAAATAAGACAACAAGCATCTTTGAGCATTGTGTTTTTTATTTTAAAATCTAACAACATGATCAATTTGTTTTTCATTGTACGGAATAAGCCAGTTCTTGGCAAATATATAGAGTAATTTGCTGTTGGCAATCATTTCAACAAATGAATGAAAAGATAATGCTGAAATTTTAGTCTTTTCGCATGTTTGCTTTTAGAACAATTGTGTTCTTAACTATGTTTGTACAATTTATTTATAAATTCACACATGATTTGTTATTTTTTATGCAGCTACCGTGGAATATGAAGCAGAGCTTCGCCACAAAAATGAAATGAAGAAATTAGAAGCTAAAATGCGGGCACAGTATGTAACTCATCAATTTTTTATGATTCAAAAAATTTAGTAAAAATTTTGTTATGCTTTTGAGTACACCACAGAAGACAAATAATCTGTCTTTTGAAGTCATATATCTTGGAAGTTAGGATTGACCATTCTATGAAGTTTTCCATGAAATTTTGTGTTGAAGATTTTTATAGGGAACACTTTTGCCTATTGAAATTGCTTATAATTTTCATATAATTTATGGACATTAGAAATTTTAATAATAACGATTTTAAGCTTTTTACAAAACAGTAGATGTATGATATGAAGAGCTTTTTGAAAGTACATTTAAAAGCTGTGTTAGAACTGCATTTTCTTGTATGTTGGAGTTAAGTTGACTTTAATTGTTTCCATTGCAGAGCTGCCATTGAACGTGAGAACAAAGATGTGCGATTGGAGCAGATTCGTTTGAAAGCCACAGAACAAAGAGAAACTGTTTTGCAATCAATCAAGTATGTAGCCTAAGCTTTAGTCATTTAGAAAAGAGAAGTGATTTTTGCAATAGATCTCATTATTTGCAACTGCCTATGTTTTAAGTTAAGATCTTGGAATGTGATTGTACTTTCAATTTTTTTATTTCTTTTGCACAATAAAGATACCATCTTGGAATGGTATGTTAGTTTCTCATGTAAGCAATGTAGAACAGAAATAAAGACCAACTGATTCAGGCTGACAATGTAGTATATTTTTCTATTTTAACTAGGAAATTATGATGGCTTTTCTCTGTTCAATGCATTGCTCAAAAACCAAATTATAAGCCTGTGTTTGGGTACTCATTAAAACAAGTTGAATACTGTATATAATTGATTTTTAACAACTAAATTTTATTATAAGCTTCACCGTTCAGGAATCGCTGTAAAATTTGAGCTGTTATCCTAATATGCTTTTAAACCAATATTTTACAACTTTTTTTGACATGTTATGAAAATAACTAGTAGCTTTTAAAAAGAGGCTGTTCCAAAAGGTCAACCAAAAACACACAAAAGTGTTGCAGCTAATCCTTTTTCTATCAATCCCATTTGCAGAACTGCTGGCAGTATATTGGGTGCAGGAGCATCAGCATTTCTCTCTGACTGGGACAAGATATCCACAACTGTATGAACTGCTTCTTTCTACACTTTGATAGCAAAAGTGTCACTCTTTCAAAGTGTTTTGCTTTTTATCAAATAATAAAATACCTACCACCATATATTGCTGTTGAGAATACAGCGAATCTCAGGCATTTTTAACAATAATCTCCCTCAAATTTGAATTATTCAATCGAAACATTCATTTTGATTTCATTTAATGTCTCTAAAAAGTTATTGCAACTTCCATTTTTGTCAAGTGTTTCCAGCAGAATAGAAAAACAATGAGAAGCAGAGGATTCAAAAAACTTAAACATGTGGCAAATATCAAAGTTTTATTGTGACAAAAAAGAATTTATACCAGCATGCATTGTTGACAAAGGGCAGTCAGAATCCTTCACCATCGCTTTTTGTGACCGGTCATTAATTCTTGCAGTGGAAAAGGTGGAAGACATTTTCAACTGCATGATTAAATTTTGACCCCCTTCTTTGATCTGAATTTATTACTGTAATAACTACATGTTAACGAAGAGTTTTTCTGCTCCCTACCCTTTCATTTACATGAGCAAGAAAGGTACAAACTGTCATTCTGAACTTTATGAAGATTTGAAGCGACATGTAGGATGTAAAATGAATAGCGTTGACCGTAGGATTGATTTGGAGACATTACAGCATTTTTTTTAAAATGATGCCTAGGATAATAGAAAACCAGCCTATAGCCTTTTAAACATAACAAGTATAGAACGAGAGGACATAGAACGAGAGAAAGATAAGACAAGGAAAAGCAAGCAGCTGTACTTTCCAAGAGTATTTCCCCAACCTTACAGCTATTTTTATATTTTATACCTTTGATTTTTAAGGAACAGATTTGTTTAGGAAATGACAAGATGTCACTGAAAGAATTGTTTCATTTTCCTATCTCTGTGTTAGGAAATTTTTAACCTTCTTCCAGATTTCTTTTGCTCTTTTCCATACAAGAATTAATGACTGGCCCTCAATATAGAGTATATGTGCATCATTTTTATAAAAAACTGGTAGAAAATGTAAATGGTACCAAAACAGTATAGTATGCACGGGCACACATGCAAAGCTGAGATGGAGGCATTTCCATTTTGTCCAAAGATAAACACCTTCTCTTAATGTATCATTTGCTAAAAATAGGTTGGTTCAAAGTATATTCATCACTTATGAAAGTTTGTCTCCCTTTATTTTAGTACAATCCAACTTGCAAATAAGGAATGATTCAATTATATATTTTGTAAAATATAAAAATTGGGAATGTATTTTTGCAGGTTGCTGGACTTACTCTTTTGGCCATCGGTGTTTACACGGCCAAAAGTGGAACTGGAGTGGCATCAAGGTGAAGTTTGTTTTAATAACTTTTTTTAAAGATCTAGAAATATGTCTTCCCTAGAAAAAGGAAAATCAGCGAGTAAATGAAATCATATCCACAAGTTACTTGTGACTTGCATTTATGCAAAGATGCTATCATTACTTTATGAGGTAGCTATTAGCCAGGAGCAAAGGAAAAACAACGACCAGAATCCAGTATTGTGTAACCGCATTTTAAAATAGATTAAACGTATTATATACGAATATTTAACCCCGGCACACAGGGCTTCATCAGAGTAAATGTAGCAAACGAATGATGGATTCGGCTATTTCATGAGCATATTTGAATTTTGAATTTAATTTAAAACTCTGTTACACAACTTTGGATTCTCATAATTGTTTTTCTTTGTTCCTGACTGTCTTCTTATTATTAGATTGCAAGATTCACTGAATCCGCCGAACAACCTAACCTGTGTTTCTTCCTTCTTACATATATTACTTCATTAGTCATTTTAATTTTTTACAGATTTATCGAGGCACGTTTAGGAAAGCCGTCTTTGGTTAGAGATACTTCAAGAATGACTCTCTTTACGGCAATGCGTCATCCAGTCAAGGTATATAAACATGATTAACCTTTTTTATTGTATTCTTGCTCCTAGGGGCACAGCAGCATAATGGGAGTTTGAACAGGCAGAGGGTTGGATGTTGCTACAATCTCAAACAATCTAAAGCTGCAGAGTTACCAATATTTTAAAATTTAGCCCCCTTGCTGCCAATCTTGTCCTTTTGCATCCAGCAGTTTATTACTAAAGTTTTTGTGGATATATTTGAATTTTTTGTAGTTTATTAAGAGAAACCGGAAAAAATGAAGAGCTAAGAAAACTTATTTAGCATTTAACTGGTTTTTTTGGCTTCAACAGTATTTAAATGGTTTTAGCAATTTTTGCATGACTTTTTAAGAATGATCTCTTGTCAGTTATTTGACTAAGGTTGATGTTTGATTACTGTGTTTATTTCAGGCAGTTAAGAAAATGTTTGTGAAACCAGAAGATGCTCTCAAGGGAATCATCCTCAAGGTTAGGCCAGAAAAAGACTCTTTGACCAAAAATTTTATGACTTAAATAACTTTTCCTTGGCTTGATTAGTAAAATCAGGAAGATGTTTCCTTAAACAAGAGAAGATGATCAATTCACAATTATAAAAAATTTCAACAAGCAAGTGTGATTAATTTCTTTAATTTCAAGCTTGACCAGGCTTGAGGATGCCTGAGATAACAACATTTTTGCTCCATTTTGAGTTAAGGCCTTTGTCTACAGACTAAGCATTCAAGCCATAACTAAATCACAACTTTCACAAATTGTGCATATAATATATTCATGAAAGTAGCAGACATCGCTAAACTAGAAATTTTATGCAACGAGGTTAATTTTTTAGTTAGATACTGTTGAAATTTAACCAGACATTTTCTTCTCCAGCCCACCTTGGAAGAGCGGCTTCATGAAATTGCCCTGGCAACTGCCAACACTAGGACAAATAAAGGACATTATAGAAACCTATTGTTTTATGGGCCTCCTGGCACCGGAAAAACGATGTTCGCAAAGGTCAGTGTCGAAAACGAGCCTTAGATCCCTGTTACAATAATATCTATTTACATATACACACGGGCCTTCAGTTTCCTGCAAGAGCCATGTCAAAATTCTTTAACATGATAGATTTTCTTTTGTTTACTTGTGATGATCAAGGATAGAGCTTACCCTGCGAGCCATCTTGGTTCCCATTAGCAAAGATTTATTATTCCTTGAAAACAGCCTAGGAAGTCCTTATGTCATTTTAAGGCTGCATTGGTGCTTATGCGGTTGGTCTTCTTCCCCTATTTTACCAGTATGTTTCCTTCTGTAAAGACCATTTTAGGCCTTAAAGGCTGAATGATATTCATATGTCAGCCCCTCTGTAGAGACTTTTTCCATTGTAGAGCCTGGCTTATCATTCTGGCTTAGATTATGCAATTATGACAGGCGGAGATGTTGCACCCATGGGACGTGATGGTGTCACTGCTATGCACAAGGTATTTGACTGGGCCTCCACGAGCAGGAAAGGGTAGGTCGCCTAAGATTTTATTTGGCAAGATACGTTTTTAGCTGTAGCTATAAATGATCCTGCTGTTGTGCGTTGCCTGAAAATACTTTTGAAATGCAAGCCACCTTGAGTTGAACAATGCCCCTGAAAATCTTCTTTTCAGAACTTCAAACATGAATTACGTCATCTTGAATTTTGATAATTCATTTGATTGACAGGCTGCTGTTGTTTGTTGATGAAGCGGATGCTTTTCTTCGAAGACGTAGCACGGTATGTTTTTCACATCACCTTGTATTATCCATAATGACATGATTCAATGACAGTCGTTTTAGTGGTTTTTTATAGTTACTTAAGCCATGATTCAATATGATTGCGATGGTTCACATCCTACAAGGTATATACTGTGTGACTACGGGACGTTTTTACACATTTGTACCAAGTGGAAGCCTTTTTGACTACCACATCAAGCTACAAAAACCCATTTTCATTACTGCTGGCATTTTCCCTGTATATATTCAATTAATAAGATTGTCTATTTCTGATTCTTACGTTATAGTGGAAGTTTAGAACATTAATGGAATTCAACATGCCTGAAAATAGTGTCAGAATAGATATAATTAAAGGGGTTTTTGAGGTAGAGTATTGCAAAAATATCGAGGGAATGCTTTATACGAACACAGCTTAATAGGAAGTCAGCATATCCAATGATGTCCCCATCTTGGAAAATTCTAAGCTTTTTATAGCATCCCGGAACAAAATTTGGAACACATTCTGGCTGTGAATAAACGATGGGTTTTTTTCATATGTTTGTATGTAAATATTACTCTCCCGAACTATTTCGAAAACAATAATATTATAGTGTCTTTCAATCCTCGTGTTATGGTACTAAATTGGTGTCATTTCCGGATCTGCATAGAAATACCCCCAGTAAGGGTCCAAACAATTTGCGTCGTAACTGAGATTCAACTTTTATTGTTTAGGAGCATATCAGTGAGGATCTAAGAAGCACTTTGAACGCATTTCTATATAGAACAGGCGAAGCTTCTCGAAAGTAAGTCTTGCTCGGAATGAGGTTTTTAAGGGCTTTAGATATGTTGCTTTGATGTTGATTGGATAAGGATGATGACGTAAATCTTGTTTTAGAGACCCTATTGGTTTTACAGTAAACAGAGCGTCGTGGCTGGCAGACGAGTCCCAATCTTTTGGCAAAATACCTTTTTTCTATAGGTTCCCTCTTAGAAAGTTAGGTTAAGTGTCTCTCCATCCCTTGCTTTTCAGTCTCACGCCTCATAGAAAAAATTGTCATGTGTACGGTTTATCATAGATTTCAGACTTTTATTAATCAATTTCATTATGCAAAAATTCAGAACTTAGTTTAATATCAGAAGAGTGTCCAATGTTATGTTAAAAGATACTGTCCTTTGTTCCTTTTTTGTAACAGAAAAACTAATAAAGTTTGCTCTAGCGGATCTTAAACTGTTTTGTTTTGTTGAAGTAGTTTCCTTTAAGTTTGCCCATTGTGCTTATAATCTAATCTTTTCTTGGTATTAATCTAATCTTGTTATTTCTTGTTATTAATGTGATCTTCTTATTTCTTATCAACTGCAACTTGTTATTCTGTTTATTCAAAAGGAATATTCTGTCATCTTAAAATAACAGCAAAGTAAACAAATTTAATTTAAGAAAGGTGAAAAGCTCTGGAAACAACTGTATAAACTGCGTTTGCTACAAGTCATGGTCAAATGTTTTATGTATGTATTTCCCTGGCTTGTAAAGCAAAGAATTTTATTTCACGTTTGTCAACGTCTCAAAGCCTTGTTAATCTTTATTTGCCTTTTTTCTACTGATATGATTATATATTGGTTGCTTTTAAAGTATAGCTACGGTTCTATTTAAGAACAATGTTAAAACTTTCACTATAATGGGAGAGAGACTGCTTTTATTTGGTTAATTCTAATGCTATTTCTTTATGCTATTACTTCTGAAAGGTTTATGTTGGTGTTAGCAAGTAACCAGCCTGACCAGTTTGATTGGGCCATCAATGATCGCTTAGACGAGATGGTAGAGTTCAAACTGCCTGATGCAGAGGAAAGGGAGAGACTCGTTAGAAGATACTTCGAACAATATATTTTAAATGCTGCAACCAGAGGATGGCGATCTACGTAAGTAGCACACAACTGCACCTCAGCTGCACCTTCAACTGCATATTCAACCGCAATTTGTGTAAGGACGGACTAAAGATCCAAGTGTCAGGAGTTTGAATGAGAAGACCTAACATTCACTGAGAGTCAGAGGAGTCGCAAGCTTTCTGTAATTCCAGGCATGGGAAGGGAGGCCTGAACACTGCTCGAGGGACACAGCTTAAAACTACCTACGAGGCTTGGAGGCAACAAATTCAAATCAAAAGCGCATTCCCTATTTTATTGTTTTAGTCAGATGAGCCATTTTCAGCACCTTTAAGCCCTTAATCAAATGGTTGATAGGAGAAGCTGTCTTATATCCCGTGTTTCCGCCAATTACTGTCATCAACCTGTGATATGTTTCTCTGTCACTATCCTCAACCCTTAATTAATATATTTTCATGCAAGATGGTGACTTAGTATTGAATATTAAACGTTGTTGTTGATTCATATATTTATATCGATAGTTATAATTTGATTTGATGCTGACATTTTAAAAGGAAAGTGCTTGATTTCCCAGGAGAATAAAAGTGGCAGATTTTGACTTCAATGAAAAGTGTAAAGAAATAGCCTTGGACACTGAAGGTCTTTCTGGCAGAGAAATTGCAAAATTAGGAATTGCGTGGCAGGTAATTGAACTGACAATGTTTTGCATTTGATTGAATTAATTTTTATGCATCAATGAACATGTATATCTCATCAACAATTGGATCATGCATCTGGTAATTGACAAATACCAAAGCTCCAAGTGCCAAAGTGCGTGACTACAGCGACGTCCCGAGAATTCAAAAAATTCCGTAATACTTTTGTGTAAGGCTAAGGCTTAACTCGTGTGAGGCTTCTAATTCATCATCTAAAACCTTGTTGTTTTTGAGTAGAGTCTTGAAAATTGAGGTTTTTAAAACTCAAAGTTGTTCACGTATCTAAATGTTGTTGTAAGGTCCCGGAGAATGGTGATGATCATGATCAAACCGCTGTCATTGCAGCTGTTATTGTTAAAACGTTTACTTCACGTCCTCTACTTGTAAAAATTGAAACCCCGTGACTATTGGTGACAACGTTTTGATACTGTATTCTGTTTTCAGGCCAGCACATACGCTGCTGCTGATGGCACTCTAACTGAAGAAATTTTAGACGCACGTGTTAAAGAAATGATTAGCCAGCACAAACAGAAGGTGGACTGGTTGAGGGATGACAGTCAATCGAACAAATCCTATATGAATCCAGATTTGCATCTTTCGTAGAACATATGAATGAAAATAGCCATATTTATGTTTTCAATCGTTAATGAAAGTGTGTCCGGATGTTGTTAAAAAGTTACTATTTTTGCGCGGCTACCAAATAATTTTATTTTTTTTAATCGCGGTTGCAGTTTCAATTATAAAGCTTCTTTTTGATTTAGAATCAAATGGTCTAGACGAATACATTAAGGATGTTTCTCTTTGTGAGTGTCAGCCTGATAACGCTAGTGTGACAAAACGCAAGAAGGAAATGATGCTTGGGGAATTGACAAATACTAAAGTGGCTTAAAACATCAGCCAATCAAAACTTGGCCAGTTAAAAAGCATGATAAAACTCACATAAAATATAAAATTTGTTAGATCTTCACACAGCACTTTGTAACTCCTTTGATGATATCAGTTGTTGTAATTAGAAGCTCAAAATGCTCATGTTTATATTTTTTTCCATTCAATTGGTCAACTAGAATTTTCCGCCATTTCCTTGCTCTTTGTCACGGCTCTTGCATTTTGAAATAAGCCCCTCCCCCCTCAAATAAGCCCCCTTCGAATAAGCTCCCACCCAAAAATTCATTTTTGCAAATATTTCCTCCGGGGGCTTATTCGAGAAATAATAACGGTATGCAGACAAAAAAGCATAGTGAACGACACCGCACTTGTTGATTTGTGGGGATATTTTAACATCTTCTCATCCACCTTTTTCTCGCTTTTCAAAGTCATATAAGTCTCGCTTTTCAATAAATATGGGCTCTGTACCTTTTGTTTCTTGTTTCGGTTCTTTAGCTTTTTCGTTAGGACCTTGCCGTTTGGATTTTTGACTCAGAACTATTGGCAATGGGTAAAGGTCTGGTTGAATTCTAGCCTGGGATTCAAGACAAAAAGCAACGCAAACTAAGAAAAACTTGGAATGTGTATATTATCCTTGATTTTTTTATTCTTGATGATGATAACATTTGCCCATGTGGCACTTTGCACGTCCTCTAACACCAAGAAAGTCGAGTGCCCCCTCCCCAGAGTAGAACCCAAAGTTAAATTACTACTAGGGGGCTAAAACGTACAACCAACAGTATGGGAGAGGGTTAGTAAAATGCGAATAAAGGGGAACAAGAGACAGGTCCAAAAATGATTATGCTCAAATGCTATGAGGTATAAATTATGTTGTTTCCCCAAGGTTTTGTCCGCTACAAAGCTTGAACATCTTCAGCGGCTTCAAGACATGGCTCAAAAATTAATTGAAAGTGCTGAATTTGAGGACGGGTGGATTTGTAAATGGCTTTCAGTTTCGAACCTAATTAAATATGACAGGGCCATAATGACGTACAAAATGATGAATGGTCTTTGCCCTGACAGCCTTAACCCTATCCAGACTAGGCTTTTTGAAACTTTCGGGAGACTAGGGGGGGGCACAAAGTGCCCCCCCTCCATAATTTCTTTGTTCCTCTAGCTAGGACAATGAACTTTGTTTGGATGGTACTCTTATCTTTTCTCCACATTTTAGTATTTATGTTCAATTTTTAAGTCACGTGGTTTCACGATGACGTCATCATAATGGTGGCCGGGTGAAGCAAAAATTTAGAAAATTTTTGAAAATCTTAAAATATTCATTAATTCCTAAGCATCGGGCTAAGTTATTAAAATAAGCAAATTTGATGCATTTTCTAATAGAAACAAGAAGATTTACACAATTTTAATGTTACTTCTCAAAATTATTAACGTTCCTAACAAAAGAACTCAACATATTTTGTATTTGGCGATAGTTTTTTCTATATAACTAAATGATCGATACAACCAAATGTCATGTTTGAGTTCATTTTTAATGCCTTAGCAGACAAATTATTCTAAACTTGCAGTTTTATTAATGTAATACCTATAAATCTGTCAACATGTGTGCGCATGCGCAGCAGAAAAATCATAGAAAAGGATGTTGAATTTGAATTTTCTGGTCAGAATCATGAAAAGAGCACAAATTAATGCCTAGATACTAATTTTCATCAATATATCTACTTTTGTTGCGAATCCGTGGCAGATTGAACTATTTTTTACTTGACTAGTTTTGAAAACGCCCCTACACAACCCCCGTATCTTTTTATATGAACATGTGTCAGATAGGTTAAAACTAAAAGTCAGGAGGTCTGAGGGGTATTGCTTTCAAACTCCTGAAGTTATGAAAGAAAAACCAACTAGGGGGGCACTTTGTGCCCCCCCCTAGTCTGGATAGGGTTAAGAGGTAAATTTATCACTAGATCAAGGGCCCGCGCCACTGGGGGGGGGGTGGCCATGGCCCCCACTTTCTTACAATGCAAGTAGTTGTAAAACTTCAATAAAAGGGGTAAGAAGCCTTGGTCCCTACATTTTTAGCCTTGCCCCCCCCCCACTTTATAATGCGTGGCGCGGGCCCTGAGATCAGAGATATCCAGTTATTCGACAAGGAATCAGCTTGATATTGACATCCCAAGGCAAAATTTGGAATTCTTAAAGGGAAGTTTCTTTCATCTGGGGCCAAAACATGGTATGAGATTCCAAGAAACATCAGAATGAGCCCCATAATTTCCATGTTTAAAAGAAACTTGAAGGAATTCCTACAAAGTTAATAAATTCCCTAAACAAAACACGATCCCTAGGTCTGATAGGGAATTCGTGTGTAAAGATTTTTTAAATGAAATGGAAAAAAGGTTCAGGCTTAGGTCTTCCGTCTTTTCCAGTTGACGTGAGGCGAACCAAACATTGATGCTTGTGGTACTTACTAAAAAAAGGAGAATCAACTCTCAGGGGGGGTCAACTCTCAGCAGGACCAACTTTTTATTCTCAGCTCATTGTACTGTCATCAGTTCCACTCGAAGCCTACATAAATTGCATAGTTATGAAAAACAAGCATTGTTGCCGAAAAACTCGATTTTTCAATTATAAACCTGAATAATTTCGGAGTACGAAGTTTGGTATATCAATCCCCAGTAGGTATCAAGGTCTACCTTTAGGTAAGCATACTGGAAAAACCAGACCCTATGATCCTAGGACCCCTAGGACCATTAACTACGAAGAACCAAAAAGGACCCTTAACTACTACATGATTTAACTACTACAAATAGGCAGATATTATAGGAAGAACTAGGACGGGAAAGTCTGTATCACAGGAGGTGGTATTGAAGGCTAAGCAATTTTTAAACTTAGTTAAATCACAAACACCAGATTACGCTTTTCATGGAATCCCTCCTGAACGTCAACTCAATTACAGTCTTAGATATCCTAGTGACTATGAAGTAAAGGTTGCTAGAACCAATCGTTTTTCTAACACATACTTTAGTGACACCTTGCTTGAGTGGAATTTGCTGATGAAGAGATTAAAAATTCAGCATCCTTTTCTCAGTTAAGTCAGATTGCTCACCAAGTTGCGTTTAAAGTTTAGTGTACTGAATGAACACAACTTTGATAGTCTTACTCTATTTTGAAATTGCGGTAGTGACAAGGAAGACAACGAGCATTTTCTTCTGCACTGCCCCTTGTTTGACTCAATGCGGCTAGATCTCTTTGATCAGCTCTCTGAAACTCCTGTTTCAAATGTCAATCTAGATGATAAATGTTTGTGTGACTTGCTTCTGTTCGGAGACTCTCAGGATAATGTCATTATTAATCGAATAATTCTTGAAGCAACAATTTTGTTTATCAAAAATACGAAAATATTTTCAGATTGAATTCAATCACAAAGCAGCAGCAGCAGTTTCTTATTTTTTTTTTCATTTTCCTTTTCTTCTGTAATATTTGTACCGGGAGTCTTGTAATGAACTACTTCCTTGCTCCACTAATAGCTTGATCTGTTTCCATATCAACGTGATGGTACTCCATCAATTATTAACAACAATAATGTGGATGGGGGGATGTGGTCCTTCTAAGACACCCGGTTAAGTTGTTGTTTATCTTTTTTGTCATTTAGATTATCTGTATATGTACTTCAATATTAATGTAAGTGCTGTCATAGTTGGAGCTCGATGACATCATGTCTTTGCGGTTACGACAGACACAGTTTGTAGTTAGTTTTGAGTTGTCTTTATTTGTGATACAAAAAAAATTTTCCCACTAGTTTGAATTCCTTAAAAAATGCTATGGGATTCGTCAAACAGGATTCAAAGCCAAACATCAAACCGATCTTTAATTTAAATTTCCTTGTTTGTGTCAGGGGCGTTATGGCCTAAATTTCCCGGTGGGTCCCTTCCAAGTGAGTTTTATAAAACCCAGGACAAAAGCGACTGCTAAAACATTCTGAAATTTTCTGCTAGCTTCGCTCGTAGTGCACGTAAGTGCTATGTCGCGTTTGTGTTTGTATCAAGTGGGCACTACAGCATTGGATTTGTTCCACATTTTTTGCAGTTGAGTTAGAGAACTATGGTTAGAGATAAGGGGATACACCCCAACAAATATAGCAAATGAAGCTTTGAAAATGACAAAAACTAGCATCTTTTAAATTTCTCGTATGTGCGTGGTTTCAAGGTACGTATGTACCATTTTTGGCGACCTGTGGCTTGTGATTGGAAATGTCATACAAAAGCGGGCCCCCTTATGATTATATTCTCCCGGCCCTTTGCCAGGAGCCACGACGCCCCTGGTTTGTGTAGCTAACGTTAGGGTTATAATGACAGCTATGAGTGAAGATTGATCTGAAAATTCACAAGAGGAAGAGATCTAACTTATTACAATTCCTTCAAAATCCAGCGACATGGTCAAGAGAGTCTGAAAAATCAAAGGAGCAGTGATTCAATACAAAAATAAAGAGTTTAGAACTATATTCTCCACAGTCAAGATTTAGCGATCGTGGATGAGAGTGTTGATTCTTTTATGACATGCATAGTTGCTAGTTGGTTTGGCTAATCGCCTCCGCATTGTCATTCGCTGGTGTAACTATGCATTCTCTGGCAACTGTTAATGCTTCGATAAAAGAATCGAGAGTGAAGACCTGTTGCCCTGCACCTGGTTGAGCTGCTGTGGCGCCAGATGCCATAAGATTCGCTATAGTTTGTGCAGCAGCATTGACTTGATTCCCGTGAACTGCTTGCGGTACAGTCACAGCTGAAGCATCAGTTCCTTCTTCACAAACTTGTGGTACTGTTGGCACAGGTTGAGCGACATTTACAACAATGCATGGGGCAGGAGTCCCTTTTGATTTCACAGTGCTTTGTGCCAAGCCTAAACTGAGCTTAACTGCCAAAACATGACAGCACACTTCTTTTGCCTGACATGTGCAATATTCGCGGGGATATAATTTAACAGCATGTATGTCATCACTAACACCTTTCACCAAAAAGGCCTGCAGCTGACTCACATGAACAACGTTTCCTGCGGCATGAATGCGCTCTGCCCGCACATTTTCATCAATCTTGTCTCCAATTCCACTAGGTTGGAACGGCAGGCGGTTGGCTTTCAGTCCAGAGACTATTGCTGCTGGGTTGTAAGTGTTTTCGTAAATGAAAACTTCATCAGAGGGGCGCAGTAAATAAAGCAGCTCTGACCGTAGGCGGTACGTTCCCAGATTACAATAGCCCTTTGTTATCTCATTTGCCAAATGAACACTGATGTGATACAGTGCAATCGCAATCGTGTCTACAGTTGGGTCCTTGATATCTTGTAAATCTCGCATAAGTATTTGAAGATCTTGATTGACAATGTCAGTTACACCAAGGTCTTTGCTGAACAGACTGTATCTCTGCAGAATCCATTGGCCTAGGCGCGTCTCGATAGCATCTTTCAACTTATTGTCATAATGCTGTCGAAACTCCGTGGTCCAGGACTCTGAGCATCGACTAAGTTTTTTTTCGTAGATATCTTTAGTTGGTGACTCCAGAAGAAGACGAAGATGGTCTGTGAACATGTTAATTTGAGAGACAGTTGCACCAGTCGAACGCAGCCAAAGGCGGGACTCAACAACAACATGCTCCCAGTCCGTGACGGCAAACAAGTTCTGAAAGACTGACTTAATGCATTCTGTGATAGTAGACTCGCGACCAGTAACAATAGGCCCTTTATATTTATTGAGAGATGGAACGCTGCTTGCCACTGTTCTGAGCAACTTTTCGTGAGCAAATGCACATTCAGAGTCGTAAATTACAGCAAAGCACGGGAAACCAGGTTTGCCTTCGAGGAAAAAACAAAAACACGTCAAAAATATCATTCTTCGCATAGGAAATATACTGACTGAATTCAATTAATGACGGGCGGAGTAATAGCTATAAGATACACTTTTAGAGGAAAATGCAATGACATATTGCTAACAAAAACTTATATGAAATATATTGTTAAAGGAGACCATAGCTAATTAACAGCTCTTGGATATTAATGGCTCTTTTCGTTATTTCATTCATAATTTCTTACAATGCCCAGTTTTTTGTGATATTAAAAAGAAAACTTGGTATGAATACATACCGACAAAAGCAACATGTTCGAATAAAAATACAGCGATATTTAGTCTGCCAATTTTGAATGGTTCACAGTAAGAGAAGACAACAGGATCGACGGAAGGTAACTTCAGCAAATCCTCCAAAGCAGACGACAATTCGGGCAATCCAACGACACAGACAGTATCAGGAACGGTCTGAAGAAAATGAACGAATCCTGCAATATTCTCAACCATGTCAAGCATGTTACATAGTGACGATTTCTTCATTTTATTGCCTGCCTCTATCATCCGTTGCCTTCGCTTTAAATTCCGAATCTGGTTTTTGTTCCTCGGAGTCATGGCTGGGTTATTGCCTTCTTCAGATTTCACTTTCATCGATTCAATAATGTCACTAGGGCTTGCCAATGACTTGCGTGCGATTTCTTTGCGTACAGACGGTGCAACAGCAAAGAAAGGCTTGATCGTTTTCTTGGAGTTGCCATGAGGGAAATCTATCATGATTGACTCGTCTCCAATATAATGTACAAGAACAGGCTTAGGTGATCGTGTGTCTGCAATGAGCATATAAGCATGCCTCTGAAACTGAAAGGTTTTCCCTTCTGGAACTCGGGCCAAGAAATAGAGCTTTCGCACCAGTGGGCCTCTTCGAGGTATCTCTTTTGGGCCATTGTTTAACCATCGGTAGTGATCGCATTTCCAGTTATCTAAAACGATAGTTTTGAAAGATAAAATTGATTTATCTGCAAATATTGACTTAATAGAAATAACAATGATTCACTGTCTTCTGTTAACTCTAAGGAAATGCTATTTTACCAAGCACTTATAAACTTGTATGCAGGGGCGGACACTTGTTCAAATATTGGGGGGGGGGCAAGCCTATTGTTTTAATAATATGACGTCACATTTCCCATTGTTTTAAAACAAAAGACCATTGTTCTCTAAAGTATTGGGGGGCAATCGATTGCCCCCCCTCGCCCCCCCAAGTGTCCGCCACTGCTTGTATGTTTTTATCATTTTAATCACAAATCGGGAATGGGGAACAAGGGGCAAGGGGTCCAAAAATATTCTTGATTGGCTCTAAAGAGAAATTTCAACGCTGAAGTAAATTGCTGCACTGAAAGTGTCTTTACGCATATTTTTCTACTTTATGGTATAAGGGATGCGATTTGGTCTCGAGCTTACTCGTCTCATCAGATCTTCTAAAATATACCGTATTATCATCATTTACTCTGCAGTGTTTTGGTTAATTAACAGGGGTTGCCAGATCAAAGCAAGCTTTCTTTAAGTCTACACAGGTTGAAAGTGGCCTTGAAATAGGTGCTAAAATTATTGCAAAGAAAGAAAAAGAACATGTAACAGAGAAAACAATAAATGTTGAATGAAACATCAATTCCACACGATGGTGAACTTCCAATCGTCGTAACAAAAAAGAAGCATTGCATCTCATGTAAAACGTCATCGTATGTATCAATGTGTGCGGAAAAGATGCTACTTGGAATGAAATTTTGAAATCTAGAAAAAACTGGAGAACCCAACAGGCAAAGATGCTTTAACTGTGCTGTTGGATGCAGACGTTTCTTGGCCAAAAGACGTAATTAGCATTCTGTAAATACATTTTCCTTCCTTTTAAGTGGCTATTCCTATGGCAAGTGTAATTTGATGTAAAGGGAAAACAGGGACGGATTTACCGGTGGGTGTTGGGGGTGTGGGGATTGCAATACCCCCAATATATCTGTGTCCTTGGACAAATTATGCTTCAATCCAGTAAAAATCATTTTTGGAAGTCAATTGGAACAGACTGGTGCAAAAAAGCAAAAAGTTTAGTATACTAAAGATTTTTGTCTGACACTCTTCAGAGTTTAATGTCAGAACATAGATCACAAACTTTACGCTAGAAAATTTATATAACCAGTTGTGGATTGAAATGGGCCAATCAAAAATGTGAGCAAATGACTGTTGAGGTCGCCCAATCAGTTCTGCTTGCCTATTGAGAATGTTACCTATATAGAGTCTTAAAGGTGAAAACAAACTTCTTCTTTCAATATAAAAGTGGTTTTTTCATGTTTCGTAGACAGATCCCAAAACTGTCTTTATCAAGATTGGGTTTTATCAAGAATCCAAAATATGGCATATTTTTTAATTAACTTTAAAACCAACTACACTAGAGGCATAATTAGAGTAAACTAAAGCTGACAATGGTTGCAAGCAACTTAGAACATGGTAAGAAGAATAGTTGATGCCAATTATAGTCACTTTGCTTAAAGCCACACTACTGTTTACTTGCACATATAATTTTAACCTAAATATATGCAAAATTGTTCAATCAAGCTCCATTTATAGCAGTGGAGTAGGGCTACCAAAATACTAAGGGAGGGGGGATCTTGCTCAAAATATTTCTAAAAACAAGCAAAAGCAGAAATTAGCTAATTTTTTGCATTAACATGGAGGACTAAGCCCCCCTCCAGCCCTCTAGCATTACAACCCTCGCTTATAGTCACACATCACTTTATATCACAGCTGGTCATGCATCATTTGATAAGACAATAATAAATAAGACTTGCAAACAGACAACAAGTTATGGACCTAGATATGAGCAAACTAATGTAATTACATCCCTACCCCTACCCAATAATTTCCTCTTCTTTTTTTCTACGAAATTGAACTTTTCCTTATAATATGTTCTTGACTGAGAAAACTGCATAAATATTTAATAGACTGAAAATGAATTGCAATTTAAGTTAAGATGGAAAATCATTTCTAGTCCAAATTATTCCAAGAACTATATACATACTGCTATGGTACAAATAAGCTCCTAGTCAGTGACACCGGGAGGGGGATGCAAAAGGGGGTAGATGCCTTCCCAATGGCAAAAGATCTCTTCACAAAAGGACATTTTTTTAGCATTCAAAAGTTTGAACCCCCAAATATCCCAGTGGCTCAATTCGCCTTTGCCCTCAGTCTTTCCACTCTGGCTTCACTCCTGCTTCTAGTATCTTTTATAATAGACTTCTCCAAACTGCATCCTTCTCAAATAAACACCAAGGTTAAAACACAAAACAGGCCCAAATATTTCCAAACTGCATCCATGGAAAATAAAGCAGGCCCAAATATTTTGAAGGTGCTTGCTTGAATAATATATTGTTTGTTAGACAGACATTATAAGTCAGTTAATAGCACATGATCCCATTTGCCAATCAACTAATAAAATATTATATTTGCAGTGCTGTGGAAATGAAATTCAAATGGGGGGGAGTGCCCACTGCATTGGGGGGGGGGAGTTCCCACTGCATTGCCTCTTGCAGCTGTTATAAAGGATATAAAACAGTTTGACAGTTATTAAGGGGCTCCAGCCCCCCAGCACCCTCCTCCCCCACTTCCAAAGGCCCTGTTTTGATTCACTTTATCATGAGAAAGCTGCGCTAAACCACTACCTGGGGGGGGGGGGGCTCTCAGAATAAAACATCAGGCCAGGTTTCTCTTAATGTAAGAAAGCGTGCCGTTTCCCACAATCTCCCCTCCCCCTGTGGCGCTGCCATTTGTTTCTCCAAAATTCAAATTTCTCTGTCACACATTTCTAAGAAGTCGGCAGATTCGAACAAAAAACTCAGACGTTTGTTGAAAATGTTTCCCCTTTTCTTAGAGAATGAATAACTGGAGAAGTATTGATGCATATACTAAAGTTATCGGTCAAGGTCAAAGCAAAACAAATGGTTTAGATAAAGGAAAACTTCTGCTCTTTCTTTTCTCGATTTGTCTTTCTATTGAAGACCTTAGAAATTAATTTGCTTACCTTGTTCTTCAATAAGCTGGGGCATAAACAAGTATACCTCGCCCCCTTTAGGCTTCATAGGGGGATATGCAATCGACCTGTACTGTTCGACATTCTCCAAAATAGATATAGCTGTTTCCAATTCCAGGGGCTTCTCTTGAAACATACAACAAGAACGGGTCAATGCCGCATAATCTCCGGAAGAAGCGATACCAACTTCATCCATTTCCACAGTATTTTGCTTTGAGACGAGTGCAGACTAAAATCTGGAACTTCAAAATAAAATGGCGGAACGTCGAGCTTGCCTTTTTGCGTATGGATTCTGAATGAAAACGAGGTTGCCCTGGATACGTCATAAAAGACATTCCTGTCTTGCCAAATTTTCTTGGGAAACAATAACTAGTTGTATACGTTTTTGTAGAAATGAATTTTAAAGAAAATCACGAGGCCTAAAATTCATTAAATCTTAAAATTGGCTTAAAATAATAGCCTGGCTCGAAGCCCTTGACAATTCGACCATTTATCCAGAAGCGAATAAGAGAAGCGTTAGAGGAGCCCTCTTCAAGTTGGTACGGTGTAAGCTTGTTTCGTTTCCAACAGTGCTTTCATGATGAAGAAAGGGCAGTAGTAAAGATTTTAAGAATAAGTTGAGTTCATATTCGTAATTTCTCATGAAATACTGAAATACTGAGATACTAAGATGCTCAGGAAATACTAAGATGTTTTTAGAATAATTTGTGTATAAAATATTAATAGCAAAACCGTTTAAAAGACATCAAAGGAAAATTTGTACGATTATATACACACCCATATACCCACACACAAACAAAACACACATACCATCTTTTATAAAACAGGCCTGTATATGTCATCTTGATATCACAATAGCAACAGTTTATAAAATCTGTCCATTTAAAGAAAAATTTTCAAAAATATATGAACATTAATCTCTTTTTTGATAAATTTTGAAAGAGTGTTCTTATTCAGAATGAGCTTTTAGTAATGTTCTTTTGAATGCATCGTAATTTGGAGCTTTGGATTGAGTTTTGAGAGTATTCCAGACAACAGGGCTCTCGTAACCTCATGCACTGTCTACCAAACTATGTTGTGGGTCTAAAAACATTCTTGACATGCTGGCATCTCCGGTATTGTATTGTTTCTTATGTCCCTGGTTTTGACAGCTTTCATAGAAATTTCCAGAAAAGGTTTTACTATGTAGGCTTGCTACACGATGACTGCTACGCAAAGTCAACATAATTACGATATTTATTTCCAATTTATAGAACAAAGATATTTTCTGTTCCTATCTGAATGTAAAATTTTTTAGTCTTTTTTGATCATGTAATTGTAAGAACTATTTCCTTGAGTTTCTTCCACATCTCTTTGTCATCCTTTGATTTTCAATGTCGGATTTGAAATGATCCTTCTTTTTTCTTCTATGATATTGTTTTCTTGACTTTTGAGTAACTGTTAACATTTTTCAGTCTTCTTCCTCTTTAAATCTAACTGCATTAATACTTGTCCTATCTCTTTCTTTCATTAAAGTAATGAGTTCATCAGAGAACATATTGTGTATTGTCCCTCAATTCTAATCGTTCTTTTTGGTGAATGCTTCTTAGAATCTTTTAAGATGTTTCCTGTAAATATTTCAGTACACTTAATTACATGTCATGTATGGTATAGTTCATGTATGGGATAGTCTAGGGATGCTAAACTTTCCGTGAATTCCTTAGGGCTAAAGCATATTAAGATCTTGATTCAATTATCCTAGGGAGCAGGGAAGGACCAGAACACTGATCGATAGCTTCTCAGTCTCCAAAAAGCTACCTTTGGATGCTTTATAGCAACATAAAAAACATTATATGGGATTTATTTCCAAATTCTTTCTTGCCAGTTTTGATATGTCACTCTTCAAACTGATTGTGGATGGCAACTGTAGCTGTTCCATACTTTAAAAAAATAAGGAAGCATAAGATAAAGTCCTACCTTTTAACCACAAGTAAAATCTAAACGCAAGAAAGGAAGCCAAGTCTGCCTCTCGTGTCAAGTATTGCAAACTATGTGGATTTTGAAAATCTAGCGAGATAAGGTCTCCATTCTATCCGAAGTATCTTACATTTCCTTAATATTGATGTCTCCTGGCTCCGTAGCTAAATTGATATTAAATCTTTCTCGATTGAATAGCACAATTTTCCCATTGCAAGAATAACATGTTGCTGATGCTAGACCAATCATTAATATGAGAAAATAATGTGAGTAACTCGTCTTTATCGAGGCTAGATACAAATGCACATGGTTCTAACTCATTTCCAAACATGAAGGAATATTGAATTAGAAATTCTAAGGATAAACAGTAGAAGACTAAGTACAGTACCTTGAGGAGCGCTATCAATGTTCCTCCCTGTTTCCATGATGAATTGAAAACGTTTATCATAGGTTTCTGTTTTTGCAACAAAAAAATCATGCGATTCTTAATCTGCATTTTGATTCTTCCGACTATAAAATTGAGGAAATTATTGGGTCCCCGAAAACGTCATAGGACCTTTTCGTTAAAACTGTACACATTTGGCTTGGTAATAAAACGGAAAAAACTTTTCAAAAGTGACTTGGAAAATATTAGTACGCTATATCCACCACTTAAAAGGCTAAATTTCGATCTCACCCTTGTGATACAGCCTTATTAGTCTTGGGTTTTCTTTTTTTGTAAACTACATGGGGGCATTTCATTCAGATCGCATTAAAAATTTTGCTTATTTTATGCTGCATACGACAATGTTTTGAGTAAATGGTGGCATAGATGACCTAAGTTTTAATTTCTTTGAGACTTAGACCGTCCAAAAATCATCTAGATGGAAAGAATGTTAAAAATTTTTAAAACTTTATCATCATCAGGTACCATCTTCTATTATCAGGTACCATGACCCTCCAACTATCCCAAAATCTGAGTTTTGATTTGTTGTCATGGTCATAGATAAAACTAAGGGGCTAAAAGTAGAGATGGGCCCCCAGAATCACCTCTACAGTGTTTTTAAAGAGACACTATCCCTCTTTCCAGGAGTTCTTCCACCCGAAGCCGTTGACCCCTGGAGTCGTAGCTCATCCACCCTCCTTGCCTGTCTCCCGCCGAGTCAGCCGTTGGCCACCGCTCGTAGCCCTGAGCTAGGGAACCCTGCCAGGTGGTACCAGTCGGGTCTATATGGTAAGAATGTTGAAATATTTTAAAACTTTATTGAGTTTTTTCTCGATTTTCGTGTGTGGATACATCAACTTCAATACGAAACCCGCGAACTATTTTGTCACATTGTTACTTTAGCATTAAGTTAGTGGAAATTTGCAACAAATTAAATCTACTCTAAATAAGACAAATGATCGTATAGCACTGCCAGGTAGGCCAATTGATTATGTCTACCAATAATTAAAGGGTCAGGCCAGTTGCAAAAGCAGCTTGGCCTTCATTGTATTCCAAGGTAATTAGCCTCACTTTCACATCATTCATGAATCACAAGCAAATGTAAAAGCAGGTCATGTGCACTGAAACCCACTGATCCACGGCCTCCTTCTGAACGGAGGTTTAATTGCTGATGAGAGTCCACGCCGGATTGCAAAAGCGTCAAACAAGCTGACTAACAAAAAGAGAATTCCCACGTATTCAGTTTTTCAATCGCAACATCTTTGCAAAAAATTTTCCCGAAATTTATACTTCAAGAAAACTTACTTTGTTATTATTTTCATTGAAAGAGTTGAACACAAATTAAAACGAAATAAATTTGTGAGCTGGAGCAGCAACTGATCTATAATAAATATCTGTGAAATTTTTCGGATTGTTAGAAAGATCACTTCATTTTGAAAGTATAACAAGCTTTTCTACTTTTAATTACAAGCTTACTTGGGATAATTCTACATGTGATGAACCCCCGTCGATACAAAAAATTTCAGAATCACGGGAATTAATAAATCCAAACAAGTCTATCAACTTAAACTTGAATCATATCTGGAATTAAAAGAAAACAGAGAATGACCTGCGATTGGCTGAAAAAGCAGAAAGAACAATCAAAGGTGACATTATGGACTATCAATTGTTTCAAGCCAGTGAGCAGTCAGCTAAGCGGATAAACCTCTGACCCAGTCCAATTAGGTGCACTTTAGCAATTAAGCCGAGGCTAATATGAGTTTGCTGCAGAAGACGCAAGAAACCTCTTAATAATGTAGGGTATGGTGTGGAACAGGATACAACGTATTTTAGGCCTTGTTATAAAGGCTTGATATGCAATGGAATGTCATGAAATGCAAATAAAGACAGTAACTATGCGTGCTCTGGCAATCAGGGTTGTTTCCTTGCTAGGCCTGATCTGTCTCATTTCATGGGAAGTATGGAAGGCTGGAGACATGTTCAGTACACTGAAAGGTTTGTTGTTTCTTATGTTGTTTCATGTGTGTTTACGCTGTTTATTGCAAGAGTTTTTGCTGAAAGCAAATGGGGGGTGACAAGTGAAGTAAGCTCTCAACTTGGGTTGCATCCATTAATATTCTGTAAAACTATTGTATTATTTCTTTAGTCTCTGGGGAGATTTGATTAGCTTTCTACTTGGAAGCGCAAAAACTTGGCAATTTCTGTCAATAATTTCTTTTCTTTTGATGGTTACAAAATTGTGACTTGGGGAAGTGCAAAAATAGTGAAAAAATCGTGAAGAGGTTATTCTTGTGTGCAGGATTTCGAGTAGATTAGGGACCGCTTCAATATGCATTTATACAAGGATTTTCTGAAAGAATTATTAATCTTGCTACAAAGATTTTATGAAAGGATTAATATTGTAAGAATGATCAAGTTTTCACTGCATTGGAAATTGCATATAAAATTGAAAAAGCTTTCTAAATTTTGATGCCAAAGAAAGTCAAATTTCCAAGTAAATTATCGTTACAGAGCAAAGAGAAATAAAATTTCTAAACAAACTAATTAGCATTGTTTATTTTAAATTTGCTCTTTGTCATCGCAAGTATTTCAGACGTGGAACACACTTAAAGATTTATGGAAACTTTCTTATATAAATAAAGATCAATTTTCATGGGATGTATAGTAATGCTGATAATTAAGTCACATTTGCTAGTAATTTGCTAGTCAATGAAAAGTGACGCTTGGCAACTGAGCTATTCGTCTTTTTTCTGAAGCAAAAATTTCCTTCGATATAAACTGATACCAAAATACTCATTTTGTTAGTTTTGTCTAGAGCCAGAAGCAACTTAAAATAAGTTAATGAAAGAAACACTGTCTCTTCCTACAAATTAAGCTAGAAATATTTAACGATAATGTTTCATTTTTTTACATGAGAAGATCAATTCGCTGGTGGAGATATTGAAAAGCAATTCATGAAGATTTCTTTGGAACTGGAGGAGGTACATTTTCAAACTTTTGTCTATAATGCGTTAAAATATCCGTTTTTTTAAAGCATGATGAGGTGATGTCTGAAATTTTAATAACAGCTAGTAAAGATAGCTAGTAAAATAAAGTCTAAAAACGGCAGATTAAATCATTTCAAAGTTTCCAAACAAGCAAAGGAGCCGAACAAAGTTTCAGCTGCTATTTGCACCAACTGCGACCTGCCTGTCGAATATAATCGGTAACCGTGAAATGCAACAGCAAGATATTGTAGCCATGAATAATCTGTGTCAGCAGTGTTTTGAATCTTTAAGTTTTTTCTACATCATGTTTTTGCCTATGCCTAGAACGAGCTTCCAGCATTCTCTCAAGCTGCGGACATCGAAAATGCAATGATGCAGAGAGCAAGAAAACAGAACCTTGTCAAGCATTGCCACAAGCGAAACCGGACAGAAATATACCCTGCAGGACAGAATCAAATCACCGGATTAAACCGAGCAGCATTCCGGAATATACTAGTGAGCGACAAAAATCAGCTTCTCTACTGCATGGTCCCAAAAGTGGCTTGTTCAAACTGGCGGAGAGTTCTGCTGGTTCTCGAAGGCTACATTCAAGATCCACAGGCATTGGATTCTACTGACGTTCATAACAATACATTTGGACTGCTTAGACCGTTATCTGACTATTCTTCGGATGAGATAATATTCCGTTTGTCTACTTACTACAAATTCATGTTTGTTCGCAATCCAATAGAAAGACTTACTTCAGCATTTCGTAGCAAATTTGTCGAGAGTCGGGTCGCCTTTTTCCGGGAGGTATTCGGTAAATACATTTTGGAACGGTACAGGCCTGATACGCCAACTGACCAGGCTACTAAGGGCGATGGGGTAACCTTTCGAGACTTTGTACAATACGTTGTCGATTCGCCTCCAGAGCACCCAGATTACGTGAACGCGCACTGGGAGCGGTACGACAGGCTGTGTCTGCCTTGTCTGATTTACTACGATTACATCGGAAAATTCGAGACGATGGACGACGACGCCGATTATCTTCTCCGACTAATCGATGCAAAGTCGAAGGTGTCTTTACCAAGACTCAAATCGAACTACCGAGTACCGACAAAGGCTTTAAGCAATTTCTACTTTCGCAGTTTGAGCAGCGATTTACAAGAAAAGCTAGTGAAAACATATAAACATGACTTTGAGATGTTTGGCTACAAAAAGCCAACAATTACTCATGACAAAAAAAGGAAGTGACGAACAAGGAATGAAGTGATGAACAATCGTTAAACTGTATTACTGCAGTGCCAAGGTTTGTCATTGCAATATGAGCCTGAGCAAAGTATATTGAAACATTTCTCGACGAGAAACACAAGATGGATCTCCAGCCGGTCATTTATCGGTCATCCAATCTGCAAAAAGTCAAGAAAGGAGAAAATCTTTTCCCGTCTGTCAAACCGAGTAAATTCTATAAATCTTTAAAGACCCTCGCAGAGGCAAGAAACTTCCAATAGGTTTTTTCGCGAGAAACAAAGTTTGGGACCATTCCATCAAAAAAGGTGCTTCAAATAAGGTTGTTATTTATCATTTCAAACTCAACATTATTTGCACGATATTCTTATCAATGACAGAATAACAAGTACTGTGCTTTTGATCTAAATGAACAAATGCAATGCAATTTTGGACCATATAGTCGTGTTATTTACACAGCTTTGCGTAAACCACTGCTCCTGACGTCACAAGGCCACACAGGCATGCACATTTCTTCCTGAAACCACCAGATAGGATCAAAGTTACCTTTATTTGCAATAAAAGCACCCTATCAGTAGTTGACCTCTCCTCTTCTGCCAAATCCTGCAACTCCAGTTTATGACTCAATCCAATGGAATAAGCCTGGTGATCATAAGTTTGTTTTTAATCTTTTGAACAGTATGTACATTATATTAACTACAATGTTTGCATTTAAACAATACAATTGAATTACGAGGAAAGGAAAATGTGAAGCAGCGAGCTCATACTTTGGCGATTTGCACTATATATCAGTCCAGTTCAGTTCAGTCCAGTTTAGTTCATTTCATTTGCCTTCATATGAAGGAGATCTAAGATTTCAGAGTTTGAATAGTTGCTTTCCGATACTGGAAATGGCGAAAAACTTTCCATCAGTTTGAGCCAAATTGCTTGAAGGAACAGCCGCCGGGCTAGGCCAAAGACAGTATGCGGTTTACAATGTACTTGCTCGCCAGATCAACATTGCCTGCAATGTATCGTTGTATTCATTTTAAAGTTGCAGTGTTTGCTATCAGAGTTACTTTTCAGACCCTTCAAAACTTCGAGGAAGCAAGCAATTCACGGCAAACGTGCGCCGAACATGAACACGACACTGGTTTGTCAGGTTTTTTATTTAATGTTCTCGAAACTTCAGAAGCATCAAAATAGAGCTGTTAGGATCATCAAGAATAGCAGTTTTAATGATTCAGAATCTAGGCCGGAAACAGTCAATGAAATGGTGAAACACGATAGCAGGACGATTGTATAAAAATCTTTTACACATCCTCCCTCCCCCATAAAATTAGAGAAATTTTTACAAGAAGTTCTCAAAGTGCATTTTGGCAGCTACGTACTACAAACACTGATTTAAAGTTTCCAAAGAAGAACATATTCAATGCGCAGAATTTATTTAACTTTGCAATGTTTTTATATTAATAAATTTCATATTAATGAATTAAAAAACTTTGCAATGAAAATAAGTTTATCTTACTGCACGCAGCAAAGCCACTTTTAAAAGTACAAATGAAAACGAACTGTCGCATGATTTCCAAGTCTGTGACCCGATAATCTGGGTCTCAGTGGTATTAAAAAGTCCCTTAAAGGTACTTGGGCATAATAGCATGTTCTTCGGTAAAGGCTAGCCTGAATAAAATCTATTTTGTTTTCTTTAAAGGATCAAGTCTGTTCTCAATAATTTGCTTGCTTAAGGCCGCTGATCCGGAACTGTCCGGAATCTTGGTTTGTTCAAAAGTTTTGCAAGGAAAATTGAGAAAAAACTAAGAAATGCTTATTGAGATGAGATTTCCTGCTGTTAAATAAAAGTAATTTACTGATATAAGCACATGTTGCATAACTATAGTCTTTAAATTACTTTTCTCATTGAAGAACGAAATATTTTTTCCTTAAGTCCTTTCCAATTCACTGTGTGGCCAATCAATCTCAGTATCATGAGTATCATCATTAAAAAGAGGCTGAGTCTCTTTGCTGATTCTGATTTCGCCCCTTTTTCATTTCTTGTTTTTTCACTGCTGCTTGTGAAGGCGTTTCAAAATTGGTTTAAGACAAAGATATTAAGATATGATCATCATGAAGGAGTAAGATTATGATGAAAATTAAAACCTTCCAAAAATAAGGTTGTGCCTGTGGGGGTCTCAAAATGAGAGGAAAAAATTACACTTTTACGATTTGATCTAAAAAGCCTCAACTGTTTAGCAGCAAATTAAATATTGCTTAGAAACATATGTAACACCTGTTATTAAATATTGCAAGAGATATGTAACACCAACATAATAGTTTAATTCTTTAAAAACTTTTTCCCAACATACGCTCTTGATTGCTGAAGAAAATTGAGAATTTTTCTCCTGATCAAACAGAGAGGCTTCTATGAGTAACACCAACCCCCACACTTTTTAGCGAGGGGGAATTCAATCTTGCACATGGCATACAAGAATTCCATAGATTTACAGACATAAAAATATAATTTCAACCAATGGTGTACGAGTTTTTCATAGAGTGATTTGCCCCTAGTTTTTCAGCCTAAATTCACCCCCATACAAGATCAATTGTGCATAAAAATAGAACCAAATGAACTTTTAGTGATTAACGTTATATTTGATTTTAATTTTTTGCTAAGATTTTACGAGAATATCAAAGGGTCCTTTTGCAAGAGTAGATGGCGCGCTTTGCCAGATTTTCATAAAGGTTTTGATCTTGTACAAACTGACATTGCCCTCCAATTGCTTTACCAAATCTCTTTGCCAAAAACTTTATGAAATATACAGCCTCTCAAATACCACATGTTTTATGCAAGAAACTGCAAGAGCTGAGATTTTGACGATCCACATAAGGATATACACAAAGAAGAAAACATAAAAGGTTTCAATTGCTTAAAAGACACTTTATTGCGACAGGACACCAGGAAAGTGGAAATTATGCAAAACCTATTTCATGACATTATGAAAACCACCAACAACTTTGGGGATAAAAAAAACAATGAAAAAAAGGCACGTTTCACCCACGGTTGAAGAGAATATTTAAAAAATGAAAAAAAAATGCTGCCGTTATATTTTTGCGGCTCTGGTACCCAGGGTACTTCTAAAATTGGGTTTCTAGCATCTAAGAAATTTAAAGGCTTTTTAATATTCTCATGAATCTTTCAAATTCTTGACTGATATCACCATCTTCTTTCAGTCTCTGTTTCTTTCAACAGGGTCGCCAGAGCACATTTTTGAGTGGGGGAGGGGGAGGCTCTGGAAAAGTGGGGGAGGGCTCCTTACATTGTTTGCCATGATTATCTTTGAAGCCACAACCTTGATATCATACTTTAGGGAAAAAGTTGAAGGGGATGGGGGCTACAACTAAGAAGTTGCATTACTCGATTTAAAACAAAACGGACGATAAAAGCTGGAAATTTAACAATAAAAGCTTTGCTTAATGTTTTTCTCTCATTTTAAAACTGTTTCTTCAAAGCTATAAGTCGGGGCTAGAAGAGTTGTTTCCAGTGGCGGCTCGTGACTTTCACAGTTGGGAGGGCAGACCATCAATATTGCGATAATCGATAGAAAGGTCGAGTTTGCAAATTTTTCACTGTATTCATGGTTCGATGTTGATCGTCATGGAGCGCAGAAGAAAAAGCATATATAGATGTGGTTGTTGTTTAGCGATGATGTCATTTTATGGGCAAAATTTTTCTTGCCCCGAATTCCTCCAAATAAGCCAATCACAGGCCGCGCTTCGCAACGCTCGAGGTCGAAAATTAGCTTGTGCGCATGTCGGCTAGGGTCAAAAAAACTTTGCCCGTAAAATGACATCATCGCTCAAGGCACTAGCGGGCCAGAAGCGAGGCTAAGGACGAGACGGGATAGCAAGGAGCTTTTTCTAGAAGAGATACAAACTTATATAATTAACCACAGTAAGACTATCTTTAAAATTAAATATGAATATCATAGATTTCCTTTGAATCTTTTTGAGGGGGCATTGCCCCAGATGCCCATTAGCAAGAGCCGCCACTGGTTGTTTCCAGGGCCGCTGAGAGTGGGGCGAGGAAGGTAAATTGTGACAGGTCCAGGGGACCTCATAAAACAGTAATGAATTCTGTTTTAAAATGGAATTAATTTAAAGGAGCAAAATCATCTCTAAAAACAGTAAAATGTTTCTATCGATTGCAAAATAGCTAACGAATTCACGCTTACCGAAAGGGCATGGTCGAGAAAGTTCTCTGCTCGATTCGCCCGCAGGTAGCCTCATCTTTTTACTTTACCCCTGGGCCTCCAAAACCTTTCGGCAGCCCTGATTGTTTCGCATATATATTTTTTGAAGCAATTATTTGATTAAGATGTGCTCTTACACTTGCACTGTACTTATGCATTTGCAGTAGTGCAGTTATTTCACCAAAACATCACGACGATAGAAAGAGAATATTCCGTTTCTATTTACCAACACATTGCATTATGTCTAGGTAGCATTATGTCTATGAGTATAGGTAGCAATATGCTCGTCAGTGGTGAGGGACGTCGTGGGGCCGGGTGGGGCAATTCCCCTAGCACTGAGTAAAGCCCCGTAGAGCGATATACTAAGTTGGTGAATCTGATCGATATTTTAAAGCTTCAAAGCCAAGAGAAAATAAAAGAATCGAGAGGTAAGGAGGAAACATTCTTTTCCTGGGGGCGTCACTTAATGGGGTAGGCAGGCTGCCTTATTGTTTTGTGCGCCAAACTTTTATTGTTTTGCTGTCGTTTCTGAGACCAAACAACTGTCGTCAGAGAAAACAACGTCTTTCCAGTGGGGGTGCTTCCCATTGCCAAACAGCGTTTTCCCACAGTACCCTGGCTCCCCTATTTCGATAGCAAACAAATCGCTTGCGCTTTCTGGCATAGTTTCTGATACCGCAAGAACACGTTTTTCACTTGGAATGATTTTGTGGGGGAAGGTGGCTTTTACTTTATTTGAAAGATGGAGAATCTGATAGACAGGGAATTTTGCATAACATTCTAGCAAACTGGGTAACCGAAGTTTTTAAGACTTAAAGCATAAGAGTGAAGGTCACTGATCATTTTAAGCCCTGGGAACATTCTGGCGAATGACAGGAAGTTGCGTTTTAAGAAGGATGAAAAATGCATGGTCAGCAGAATTTCAACTTTTGAATTTTTCAAATCTGATGAAACTATCGGAAAGAACATGCAAAACTGAGCAAAAGATTTAAAAAGAGCAATGTGATCTGACCTTTAAGCAAAAAGTTATGGCTGTGGAAACTTTTCGTTTTGTCAAACAACTTACTTTCTCGAGTTTCCTGATAGTGCAGACGGATAGCAGTAGAATTGTGCATGTTATGATAATAGCATGAAGTTTGGTACAAGTACACAATCCGATATGCTGAATAAGATGAAGTTCATATCAAAATTCAAAAAAGCCCCCAAAAGCTATTTTTGGACTGGGGTACTGGTACCTAGTCCTCTTTCTGGTATAGCACTACAACCTTCTTAACATTGCAAGTTATAAAGCTAAAACTTTTTTCTGGCGTTATTTGACGTGCTGGATAAAATAGGATGCTAAAAAGATTTAAAAATTTCACAAAATCAATTTTTAAACTTTGGTTCTTGTACCCAGTCCTGCTACATGAAGTATCTTGGTTAAAAATCTGTCTCTTTGTGGATTGGTTAACGAGAACAATAGCTGGAACGATAGCCTAAACACAATTCCAGCGCTCCGCCATATTTTTTTACAATGCGATAATTTAAAGGGGTACTGGAAACAATAAAAAATACCTTTGTTCTTATAATCTAATCAACGTCGTGACAGATTGCCTTTAAGGCGCGCAAGTTCAAATATTTGTTTGAAACGCATGCGCCCTCCAAGAAAGCAATGAATTCTGAGAAGGAAAATAAATTGAATATAATTATGCATTGAGTTCGGAACATGACAAATTCGACGCTCGAAACCGTGCCGTGTTGGAGCAAAGATGGAGTCGTGCAGCTCGGCAAGCTCTGCCGATCCAAACTAGTCTGCCGCTCCTAAGTCAATCTGCCGTACCATATTGATTCAGACGTCGCGCCCTGCATGTACTTAATTCTAGAGTTTGGTTCGGCACATGAGAAGCGCGACGTTTGAGCCAGGCCTGAGTTGCTTTGCCGAGTGACAAACATTTCTCTTTCCTCGAGCGTGAAATTTTTTTGGCCACTCACATCTTTGAAGTTTGTTTGCAGTGCCAGTTTTTTCTAGTATTTTACAAATTCTTATTACCATTTCACGGTTACAGCCAACAACTGCTGTAATTTTTCGATATGACAGTCCGATTCTTCGTATATTTATCACAGACACTCATTTTGTTTTAGGTACTTTTTTTTATTTAAAATGTATTGTTTACGAAAATTTTATTAGTTTAGTTCAAGTTATTCAAATGGCGTCAGCATGATTTTAAAGTTTCCCTCCGAAATTAAAACATGATTTAAGTAACTGGACGAGAGAAAATTGAAATTGAATGACAAGGTTTGTATGGCTTAGTCCTTAAGTAGATGCCATTTTGATAGATAGATAGATAGATAGATAGATAGATAGATAGATAGATAGATAGATAGATAGATAGATAGATAGATAGATAGATAGATAGATAGATAGATAGATAGATATATAGATAGATAGATAGATAGATATAGATAGATAGATAGATAGATAGATAGATAGATAGATAGATAGATAGATAGATAGATAGATAGATAGATAGATAGATAGATAGATAGATAGATAGATAGATAGATAGATTAGATAGATAGATAGATAGATAGATAGATAGATAGATAGATAGATAGATAGATAGATAGATAGATAGATAGATAGATAGATAGATAGATAGATAGATAGATAGATAGATAGATAGATAGATACAAATGGAACAACTTTAT